TTAAGGCCATCAGAGAGGAACTTCTGCGCCTTTCACAGAAACAGGCGTCAGTGACCACTTACCATAGCTGATTGGGGCTGGGTACAGCTGGCTTAATGTCTGCTTCCTATGGAAGCCAGCACAGGTATGAGGAGCACAGAAGAAAAAGGAAGAGCCAGTGCTGCAACAAAGAAGAGTTTGGTGGACGTGTTTTGTAAACCAGATTGGAGCTGTTGTCTGCACATTGCAGTAAGGGCCGAATCAAGGCTACGATGGTAGATTTGCACATTCTTATACTGTACATGCAAAACCTAGTACAGAGGTTACACTGGTATAAACTCTCACATAGGAACAGGGTCTGTTTTTAGGCAGTTGGGGCCCATATGAGAATATTCTACTGAACATGGGAAAAACCTGGAGATGACAGTGGTCAAGGAAGGTTTGGCCAGTCACCTATGACTTAATTGTGGCCTAATGTGGAACCGCTTTCCTAGATGAACAATGTCAGGGGTGGTCTCACAGGTCCAGTGCTACTGAATAGTTTTCAGTATGCAAAAACTGCAAGACTAAAAAAAAAAAACAACAACAAAAAAAAAAAAACCAGTAGCTGAAAACAGATCGAAAAAGCTGCAGGGCTGCAAATTAACATTGTTTACTGATGAATCTTAAACCGATTTGTAATCGTTATCTACAAGGTCTGTGCAAGTACTTACCTTATCTCTGACTTTTGCTAACCTCAGACACCATAAGCAGTAGAGGATTAACATGTAAAACATCTGCCAGAATACTGGTGTTATGCAAATAAGAGGAAATTAAGCATAGCTGTGCCTAAGTGCTTACAATCACAAAGTGCCATATATAACACTCACAACAAGCAATAATAATCCCTGTATGATTTGAAACATGGAGGCACAGGGCATTTGGCTGGAAAACTGACACTTTAGTGAGATGTGGGTTACTTGTTAGCACTTGTGTTATGTTAGGGAGATTATGGGAGTCTTTTGGTCAGTATCAGTGTCTTCTAGGCAGAGCTAGATTTAATGCGACTCTGTCATCTTCTGGGGTCTGCATATTTTCCAAAGTCCCCTGATGGTGACTTTGCTTTTTGCAGTGCAGTGGCTTGGGGGTACAGGGGAAAGTATGTTTTACATACTTAAAGATGTCCCTCACACCTGCGGCGGCCATGACCATCTGGTGGATTTTCTTCAGCTCCTAGTGTTTCATCTGCCAGGAGCCCACATCAGTACTGTATTCTTACATGCATTGGAAAACACTACTGATGTAGTAGGATCCCGCAAGACCGCAGGAGTCTCCATAGATGGTGCCTTTTTTTCCTCACAGCCATCACTAGGGACAGCTGAGGGAAATGACAAAACTTGATGGCGGTAGTTATGCTTTTTCTCAGGTTTTGTCAGGCTTAGGAAAACTTTGTCTAATATCTTTCGATTGCATTGGATTTTCAGAGAAATTTCAACACAGTTGTTGTGAGTATTCCATGAATATGTAATCTTTATGAAATACTCAATTTTTTAGGGGGATCTGACAGAGCCACTTTAAGAAAAGCCTTTTAAATGCTGCCCAGCCAGCTGCAAACATACTAAAAACATTTCTTGTCTGGTCCTAATAAACATATCTACTTAAGCAAATGGCATATGCAGGTTAGATGAACTACTTTGTATGTAGAAAGAAATATGGATACAAACGAGAGGTTAACTTTTTTATCCCAACAGCTTGTCAATCAGTTTGGCTTTTAAAATCATCCTGGTATTGTTGAAAATGGAGTCTGGTCTATAGCTACAAGAAATCCAGCATTATTTTGTGCATCCCACACCAGGGACACGGATAGCAGTTTGATTTGGAAATAATAGTTAATCATTCACTAATCATGCCGATGTGCGTAGTTTATTGTTATGAAAAGTTGAATATTCTGCCGAAAGAAGACTTTGAAAAGTTTTTGACTGTAAAAGGAAAACTGTTAAATTATTTTCCTGATCATTCACCATTGCAGTATTAACTAATAGGTTAGTTTCTATCCTCACAGAAGAATTGATAGGGTACAACTGACCTAAAAAAAACCTAATAAACATTTACAAAAACCTATTGAGTAATCAATGGGACATCAACACTATATCTGCTCAGGCACACAAAAAGTGACCTCTAAAGGCTGCTGGTAGAACATGCAATCACATGGAACATCATAGATAAATAGAGCACTAGGTAGAAAATATGTTTCCTGCATTATGGCGATACTGTGGCTATAAGAAATGTTAGCTTCCTAAAATACAACTTGGAAAGATGTTTAGGCAATAATGATATTAAAAAATGACCTTCTCTAATACAGAGAGGATACACAATGAATAACACTTTCAAATCAGACATTGAGAGACTATAAGTTTCAGCATATAGGGCTGGATTTGCTTAGCAGAAGGAAGGATTACTCTCTTTACAGAATGGCGATTGTCCCATAAACTTCAAACTGAACAATAATTATTATTGCTATGAGAAGATAACCTATAGAGTTTATGAACAATAGAACTCTCAACTTTGGGTCATTAAACATAAATATCAAACCTAAGTGCTTACTCTCAGACACCAGCCTTGAAAAAAAATCTGAACCTAAATCATTGCCGAGGGATCAGTCCAGTCAGAAGAGTAGGTTCATAAACAAATCCGGGTCAGCCAGAAATCAGTCCGTACACAAGCATATGTTCAAAGGGTATATGAGAAAAGGACGTTAAGGAGACTTGCCAAAGTTGATGATATTGATGACAATAATTTGTCAGAGAGAATAATCCTATTTTAGCTGCGACAAACTAAGCCGGGTAGTACACAGGAACAGGTGTGTCAATTACTACGTGGTAGAACAGAGGCTAAAGGGAATGCACACTGAGTTGTTAAACAGATCAATAATTGAGCAATGAATGGATCTCTTAATCAATCTCGTAAAGAAACTTCACTTAAAACATGGTTGTATAGAACAAAGTAAATATCACAATCATTGTAAACTCTGTTTATGTGTGATAATGTAACACATACCCTATTATCAAAAAAGGATAGGGAAAAAAAAAAACCTTAAAACCCCACTGCCTTTAAGGATATGTTTCTGTCTGCACAACTGACTGCCTATTATTCTTACTCTAAAGGCTTCTTCATGCACTTCATCCATATGTTGTTTCTTATCACCACAGGGAGATGGTTTATATTACAGAAAGCAATGTGATACTAAAAGTGGCACACCCAGGTTGTTTGCTTGGTCTTCAGGTAATAAAAGGGTGAGCCCTGGCGTTACCTTTTACATTGCATGTACCACAGTCATCTCATTAAAAAGAATATTTAGTTCAGACTCCCTCCCCACCCCTTACTAAAAGGGGTACACCTAGGGAGTAACTCTTGCATATGTGCTGCTTGCTAGTACTTCATGGGAAAAATGGCCGAATCCTGACCAGCCTACAGAAATATTTGCCCAGTGAGCATAAAATAAAAAATTTAAATATTAACCCAGGCTGCTTCTGAACTGCTATGAAGGACAGGTAACAAAGCTTGCCCTATAGAAAAAGCATGATTCTAATTTTAGAATGTCATTATGTGTCATTTGTGTTGTGAGGGGAGGAGTTACCCATTAGTTAAAACTGTCATGAGTTGATCAGGAAACACTTTTATCTAACTTTCTAAAGCTGATAATGTTACTTTAGAATTGTGAGGTCTTGTTGATTTTTGGTGGATAGCTGTCCTATGTTTTCGTCTGTATTATCTAATGGAAGAATTTGGTTCCCCAGTTTTCTTTTCAAATACTTTTTTTAAGTTTTTTATTGAACATATTTTAAAACAATTTCAAAACAAAAATATAACAATAGTAAAACAATTAATGTATGTGGTAAAAGAATGGAAGGGGGAAAAACACTATTAAGGGATGTAGCGGATGTTAAAATATCAAATGTTTACATACATGAAATAAGATTCAGAGTATAATGAAATACATAAGAAAGGCATAACAGTTACCACAATATTATTACAGGGTGTGTGAAATTAAATATTGAAGAATTTCTGAAAAAGATTTGGACTGTGGGCCACTTAAGACAACACGCTTACTTTCTTGTGGTTGGATCCAGGCACAGAAACATACAACACGATACAAAGTTAATATCTTCTGGTGTTATCTGCAGAACATTTCTGTGTGTGATTACGTTTAACGGTACAAAGCAAAAATATATGGCTCAACATGACAGTCAATCAACTAAATATAAACTTGTGTGGAACTTCAAATGTACAATTCCATTATATACTAAATGATTTGTGGAATATACTTAAAGTGGAGCTGCCTCAAATATCTCCTGTTGTTCTCTTCCTCTTTCAGAATCTGTTCTTAACTTAATTTCTGGTCGGTTTCCATTTAAAACAAGACAAAGTAGGGACTATTTTAACTTGTTTTTTTCCTACACTTGACAAGTCTTGACAAAGGGTGGGGCTTAACGCAAGCTTCACTTCCTCTGTCAATCTAACAAAGGGCAAAGCTTGCCTTAAACTCCAACCATTGTCAAGATTTGTCAAGCGTATGAAAAATACATAAGAAAAAGTAGTCCCTATTTTGTTGTGTTTTAAAGAGAATAGATTTTAAATTAAGAAAAGAAAGTACAGATTCGAAAAGAGGAAACAATAATTGTAAGGTAAGTGTGAGGTGACCGTGCCACTTTTAAGCTCTACTGATAATACATAGTTTTAAATAACCCCTTTCCTCCCATTCACGTGCCATGCCTAACTAAATTATATCATAAAGCTCCACTTTCTAATGCTCAATTCTGTCCATTTTCATTTCTAAATGCACCCTCCTTACACACTCAATACAAAATCCTCAAGTAAAAGTCAAGTGAGCAATCCAGCCAGTAAGGAGGGAGGGCACTGAAGAAGTATTATTTGTAGACTGCAATGTCAGCCTTCAATATCCTTTTTTTGTAGCGCTTTTGGTTTACCTGTACTTAGTATGTATGGGTATTATTTTTGCATGCGTGTTGCATTTTAAGGAAGCTGTAATCCCAAAAATGTCATCAGGTTCCTTACAACGTGGAAGGTGAGTGTTGGCTGAACCTTGCAGAAAAAGTTATATTTTGCAGAGCGCTCCAAAGGTTTTCAGTGCTGTCTAGGAGTTCTTCTAGAACAGGCTACTTGTAAACTATGTTCTTCAGTCCGGAAAGTAATCATATGAAGTCAGGTTGTAGAGCCTTCATGGTGTTCTTAATCTATTCCTCACACCTTCACCTGCTATTGCATTCCAAAATTTTTATACAATATATGTTGGTACACAGAAGGATAACATTATTATAAAATGTCCAATGTCTTTTAATATTAGTCTTCTTAAATGTCTTTTTTTTAGTAACTACTTTTCTTAGAATCTACTTTTCATATCAGTAATTCTACTGTTGTAATGAAGAGGTAATATGACCTTTTCAGCACACTTAAATAATATATATATAATATATATATATATATATATATATATATATATATAAGTGATGACCATAAGCTAGGGAAAACTGTCTTCAGTCTAAGCAACTCAAACTTTGAGGGTAGTCTGGGTGTTGTGGACAATCATGAGTGCTTGGTGGCCATCAATATTTGATCTCACTTTTTGGCTAGTGTCTTTTTTGCCTGAAGGAGAGACCACCTCTAGTGAAATACCTTTCAGAGATGAAAACATTGGCAATTATGTATAAAGATCAATTCAAGGGTGGAATTGTCTCATTTTTACATTGTGTACCCTTATTGTGTCTGGTTACTTATTGACAGGTTTTAGGATAATTTGGGACACAACATTGTAACAAATTCATATGACACGTAGCAGAAGTGAAAGTGTAATGACGTGAATCTACGTGTGTATAGATATAGTTAGATATGGAGATTAACGTTTTAAACTGATAACAAAACTTCATAACTGTAAATGTTATTGTTCATTAAACCTAATCAGAAAAAATACATAAGTATAAATATTATTTACAAAAAAGAAAATTACCAGTCTATTCCATAGCAGTATATTCAGCGAACAATTACACAAGTAAATTATACATTTTAGTATCCAGGGACAGATGCTGAGGTCCTTTCTGAAACGAGGGCATATAATCAAGAGGAAGTGAAGTATAGTTATGGAGTGGAAAATAAAATAGCTAGATGCTCAGGTAGTATCTAAGCAAACACTTCTTTATAGAAGTCATATTACGTGTGGTAGCTGTAGTGTAAGAACATTAAAAAAGGGAAAAGAAAGTTGCTAAAACAGACAGGAAGGACTAGTTATGTGGGTAGAGAGCTGTAGAGTGAGGAATTAGATGTAAGTTATGTAGGACCAAATAACAGAGCCAAAACATATATATCGGAGCAAGAAATGTAAGAAATAAAAATAAACAACATGTAGTAGTTCAAAACTGTAAAACATGCAGCTTTCTATGTAAATACTTCACTCACACCTTCAAAGGCTTCTACCAGTTTGTTTAAAGAGACACTGTAAGCACTTTAACAACTTGATCTTATTGAAGTTGTTATAGTGCCTGCGGACTCTCATTCGGTAACATCACACACACATGCATAAAGCCGTGATAGCCGGCCGTAAAGGATCATTGAAACGATCCTCTATGGAGGAATTGTAGACGCATTGAGCCTGTGCAAATCAAAGATCTTCCACACTGGCTCAGTGCACACACTGCATGGAGCCAAGAAACCTCCTGGTCTGCGTCTTTGCTGATTGCAAACTGTGCATATACCTCTTGTGAGCTCTGGCACTATAACTGATAGTATCAGAGCTTGCCGTGGTAATGTGCAACAAGAATATACAAGGTCTTTACCCAGCGAAAGTGTAGTCTTGAAGAGCTTACCATTGGACTACCCTGGACCTCATATGGTCTAGTACAGGAAGAGGTCCATGGTTGGGCTTGTGACACCATGAGTCACCACATTGGGTGACAGCAACCCAACCTTAGAGATGCTGCTGCTTACCCCTTATGTGTCTCTTAGCTCTTCAGCCAACACTCAGCTTCCACGTTGTAAGGAACCTGATGACATTTTTGGGATTACAGCTTCCTTGAAATGCAACAAGCATGCAAAAATAATACCCATACATACTAAGTACAGGTAAACCAAAAGCTCTACAAAAAGGATATTGAAGGCTGACATTGCAGTCTACAAAGGTTTTCAGTGCTGTCTAGAAGTTCTTCTAGAACAGAATACTTGTAAACTATGTTCTTCAGTCTGGAAAGTAATCGTATGAAGTCAGGTTGTAGAGCCTTCATTGTGTTCTTAATCTATTCCTCACACCTTCACCTGCTATTGCATTCCAAAATTTTTATACAATATATGTTGGCACACAGAAGGTGCCAAAAGCCTGGATAACATTATTATAAAATGTCCAAAGTCTTTTAATATGTCTTCTCAAATGTCTTTTTTTTAGTAACTACTTTTCTTAGAATCTACTTTTCATATCAGTAATTCTACTGTTGTAATGAAGAGGTAATATGACCTTTTCAGCACACTTAAATAATATATATATATATATATATATATATATATATATAAATAATGGATATATAAGTGATGACCATAAGCTAGGGAAAACTGTCATCAGTCTAAGCAACTCAAACGTTGAGGGTAGTCTGGGTGTTGTGGACAATCATGAGTGCTTGGTGGCCATCAATATTTCATCTCACTTTTTGGGGCTCCAAATTTAATTATATAAACACATGAAATCCAGATGGAAACAGACAGCAATTGATGACACATGTAAGTCATGGACTGTGATGCATGTTTAATCCACAATTCTTAGTGGCTTATCCGTTGCCTCTCCTAATGCTGGGTCTCTAGGCTAGTGTCTTTTTTGCCTGAAGGCGAGACCACCTCTAGTGAAATACCTTTCAGAGATGAAAACATTGGCAATTATGTATAAAGATCAATTCAAGGGTGTGAAATTGATCCTGCCAGCCTCGGTCCACTGCCATCGAGTGTTTTCTGCAGAACCCACCACCGCCCACCTGAAATCCCAAACCGCCCACAAGTGGGAGGTAGGGACCAGGTTGACTACCCATGCTCTAATCCTTAACAAGCCCTAACCCTTATTCCCATAGTCACATATAAGTGCTGAAGAAATACTGTAGCACTTATTAAAACATATCTGGAAATGACAGGAAACTCAAATGAAGCAAGACATTGTAACAGAGTACTAAAAAATATAGGACAAAATAGCTGGGGTCGGAGAATCCAACAGTGTAAGTTTTCCAATTTGTCTGTTCAAATTGTACCACTTGTAATCTCTTTAGGATTTATGGTGTAGAAAATATACTTTTTACAAGTGTGAAGAGAATTTAAACTGAAAAGAAGGGTCAACTCTCCCATTTCGTTTGTAACTTTACAATTTATATTTTCATGTGTGCAAGATGATACATTGCTTCAATGGCAATAAAGTATGTAAAATGTTTTTTGTTTTTGTTTTTCTGTTTTGTTATTTTAGCAAAGGTTATGCAAGACTCCTCCTCCCTTCCTATACATACCTAGAGCTATAGGGGGTATAGGTAGGGCTATAAATTAGCAAAAATATCAGGAACCATGAGCCTATTGTGATCTCACTATATACGGACGACACGGATAGAGGCTCCTAACCACATGGGTAGGGAGCCCTATTGAAAACTGTGCTTCTGCTGGTCCTGTGTTTAGAGTAGGTGGCCACAATAGGATTATCTCCCTGCACTAGTTCATACAAAGGACTTGTTTTTTCTTTACCCAGGTAGTTTAATTTTGGACTATGTTTGACAACCTAAGCCACCATAAATCTACTAACCACAGACTAGAAACCTTGATTAATGAAGGTCATGAAGATCCACATTCTCCCCAGTTTATATGGTGCCAGGTTTTTGGAGATCCCTATTGTTGATCTTTTTTGATCATTTGGGCATTTTTACACACCTCTCACTCCATGTTTCATTACAGTCTTCATACTACTGAATTAATCACATCTAAAAAACAAACACCACAAGTCAAACTCCTTCTAGGCCAGACATTAGCATAAAAAAAATGTAATCGGACATGTTAATCTTTGAACATGTTACTGGAAAGAAGAAAGTGTACATTATATAAAAACCCATAGATGAGATTTTGGAAACATGGTACAATTAATAGTTGTTTTAATTTGCACCGCTTACTAGCCATCCGCTGTTTTTAACAACCTTTCACTGTAAGATGTGCTGGCCTCTCTGGCAGTGAAAGAGTTAAATAGTGGATAGTGAGGAGAAAAGTTGCCAGTAAAAACCAGAAACAAATTGACATTACAAGGCTGCATGACCACAAACACGTTTGTATATAAACAGCTTTGTGTATATTATTTTTTTTTGTTTGTTTCGGGAGGAAGACAACTGGCAGGACCAGGTTTGGGAGGGTAGGTTGCAAGGGATCTGCTGTGTTCTGAGATGTCATGGGTGGGAGTCGTTTTATTTTATTTCTATGTTTAATTTTTTTTATGTGCATGTTGGGGTGGGGTGGGGAGGGGCGGGGGATGTCTGTGGTGGGTCTCTCCACTGGTGTTTGGTGGTTTTGTCGTATGCCACATGATAGCTTGTGCATGTCATAAAATAAAGTCTAAAAAAAAAAAATAAAGTGTTTTTTTTTCTGTAGACTGCTTTATTTTTGGATATGTTTTGTTGTGAATTGTACACTTCTTATTTCCTCTCTGTTGGGGCAAAAATACATATTACTAAATATTGAGGGAGTTATTTGGCAAACAGTAAACCTAAATGTATGACAAAATAGACAAGCTTGGTAAATTCTCCATCTACCAATATTAAAAAAAAAAAAAAAAAATTTTCAGTTCACTGAAATACAATTATAATTCATAAAAATTATTTAATACCATGCTCTCAAAATGCAGACTTTAAAACAAATAAAAACATTTGAGTTTACTTTTGAGAATTTATTTCCTATTCACCTACAGCTCATTGCTTCGTAAATATATTTAGGAATTGTGTAGAACCAAGAATATGTAGATTTTAGTCAAAAAATACCCAAAATTGGAAAAGCTCTCTCGGTCACCTTTTTGTTAACACAATTCTGGCTAAATTAATAACCATAATTGATAATTGTATTCAATAAACACATAGCAATAGATTGGAAATGTACAGGGTTATTTACTATATTCAGAATTGTCAGGGTTTCCAACTGAAATTCAATTTTTATTTTCTTTTTTGGCCTTAAATTTTAAATTCAAAACAGTTCTCACTTTAGTGAATAACCCTGTTAGGCTAAAATAACCAAACTGTGACTGTAGCTCTGCTCAATATCCACTATTTTAATCTCATCTTTGACATTTGAATACTAATTTACAGCAATTCAAAGTTTAATGACTAAACATCATAATATTTTCAAAAATATCAACCAACCAAGCTGGATGAGGTTTTTTTTTTTTTTTTTTTAATAAAATGCAAAAATTTATTCAATACTTGATAAATAAAGGTCTTTTATTTGCCAAATGAAACTTACTAAGCATGTAACTTTTATATATATATATTTTTTAATTTCCAATTAAACAACTGAAAACTGGAAGAAAAAAAAAAACAAACCACCTCATAAATATTTGTGTTGTGTACAAAGATAGTCAGATTTCCTTGATCGTTATCTTAAAGCAGATATTGAGCCAACACACAATTAACAGACTGGTGATTCCTGTTTGATCCTCTCTATGTGCAGTTTTTGTCTCTTGGATCTTATAGAGGTCAAATAAATAATGCTATGTTTATTTTTTTACCAATAGAACATTTATTTTTCTAAAATTTGGTGTTTTATGATTTTTACAATAGTACATCTCACTCTCATTGCCAATCTGCTGTACTCAGTACATTGGTTTTCCTATTAAAGTCCCATGCCATTTTATGCTCTTACCAAAATATGAACTGGTGATGGCTAAACTAAACAGCCACAAGTATTTTGGGAAATGATCCCCACACACACACACACACACATCTACTGAAACACGGTCAACCTTCATGGTTTTAAATCAAAGGTAACTTATTTATGAGTTGCTGTCACTCAAAGTAAGACATATATATCTCAACAAGGTCTCACTAGACTAGAGTAACATTGAATGCAGCTGCAACTGAGCTCAGAGTTCAAAAAGGGAATGAGTGGTCTATTTCTGCAACCTTCTATTGGATCGCCAGGGATGAAATTATAATGTCCAAACCCCTTTGATGCTCTCTGACATACACTTCTGGTTTGAGGTCTTGTATGTGATTCTTTAAAACCTCTGAAAGGCATATCATTTGGCACTTAAAGAAACACTACAGCGTTAGAAAAACCATGCTAGATGGCCACCTTACCTTTAAATATACTTAAAGCTTACCTCTATTCCACACCCGCTTTGCCTTCCTGGCTGTGATAATCAGAATTGACAGTCTCAGCCAATCCAATGCGTTCCCATAGGAAAGCATTGGGAGGCTATTGCGCATGCAAAATGCATCTCTATGAGGAACGTTCAGCACCATGAATAGCGTGTAGACGTTGAACGTCAGTGCAGCACTGACCCAGGAAGCACCTCTAATGGACATCTGAATGACTGCCACAGGAGGTGTCCCTAGGCAGTAATGGACACCCCTACATGTCTCTGAAAAGTCAATATTTACATTAGAATGCCAGCAGGGACATGCTATAGACACGAAAAAACAACCATATTAAGCTGTAGTAGTTCTGGTGACTGTAGTGTCCCTTTGACATCTATAACATAATAAAAGACCAGTGAAATACACCGCAAACAGCACAGGCAACTCCAAGACATTGAGAAAAGTAGCAAATGAAGTCAATAAGCACTTGATCCAAGCAGAATCTCAAACAGTTAAAGGACCACTATAGTGTCAGGAAAAACTTTTTTTCCTGGCACTAAAGTGTTGATAGTCCCCCCAACCCTCATGGCCCCCCTCCTGCTGTGCTGAAGTGGGAGGAAGGGGTTAAATTCTTACCTTTCTCCAGCGCTGGGCTCCCTCAGCGCTGGGGACTCTCCTGCTCCCTCCGACGTCATTGGCTGAATTACTCAATGCTTTCCTATGGACGCTGGCATCTTCTCACTGTGAAAAATCACAGTGAGAAGCGCCTCTAGCAGCTGTCAATGAGACAGCCACTAGAGGCTGGATTAAACCTAATGTAAACATAGCAGTTTTTCTGAAACTGCTATGTTTACAGCAGGCAGGGTTAACCCTAGATGGACCTGGCACCCAGACCCCTTCATTGAGCTGAAGTGGTCCTTTAAGACAACATTTAACCAAACATGAGTTGTAACAAAAGATGCACTGAACTCTTCAAAAGGTTTTTGAAACTATCCTGGGACAGGCAAATGAGAGTATTAGTAAATTCACCCTGCCGTATGACAGCTTTGCATAAACATGTAACTTCAAACTATTTAAAAAATGTGGCACAGATGGGTTACAATGAATATCATTTGTATCTAACCTTCCAGGAGCCATTGAGGTCACCTCTAGTTTAGGCCAAGACTTGTTAGAATTAATCATTAAACATTCAGTTGCAGGAAGCCTGCCACACATGTTAAATTTGAGCTTTTACTAAAAATAATTAAAGGGTCAGGTCTCTGAAGAATAATCCATATACTACACAAGGATATCAGATTTATTCACTAAAGTGAGAATTCAAAGTGAATATCAAATTTAAAGCCAAGCTAACCAAAAAAAAAAATAAAAAAAAATAAAAGAATTATCAAAGTCAGCTATGCTTCCAGTTTAGCTACTTTGGCGTTAAATGTGAAATTCACTTTGAATTAATGACAATACTCACTTTAGTAAAGAACACTATATGTGTTTCACACATTCTACCCGAGGAGCATGTATGACACATCACTACTGATACAGATTGAGTGGGATTTACTGTGAGCAACTGCACAGTATTTTTGAGGCTAGGAGAGTGAAAGTATGATTGCTGTGTGTGTTCCGTGTGTATATGAAAATTATCTTATCAGTTATTGTTGTGTCACATCTTTTGGGATAACCGGTGGTGTACAGCCAGACCATAGTTTGCAGTTTTGGAGACATTTTGACATACACAAAGATCACCAGATGTGAAAAAGGAGTTACAACATTTATTTGCAAAAAAAAAAAAAGTTTCAAAATTTAGTAAAGTTACAGAAAAAGAAACAGTTTCAACTAAATCAGATATTTTTACATGATATATGCATTTTGATTTTCAGCTCAACGCATATCACTACCTAGTGAATAAACTTCCAAGATTTATTTTGTATTTACAATCAATTGTATTTCAGAACAATTTTCTGCGTTCAACAGTTCTGAGTTCCAACCATTGGAACAGTGAATGGATACAATACATGCCCATTGTTTTTTCAATTTCTGGGTGACTAAATGCTCAAATAAAACAGCATCAAGCTCTTTAAGTTTTTCTTATACTTAAATACAGTTTCTTGGCCGATTTCCAGTAGCACAGACCAGGAAAGTCTTTGTCCTCACAGTGACTCCAGTACTTATGCCTGTAGATATTTGGGTTCATTTGGGCGAAGGTCCATGACTTTTCCCACACAGTACAGGATGAGGGTGAGAAACCATAAGCTCCAACCAACAGCAGCAGCTATCCAGCCATAGCTGTCAACAGCCGGTACGCAGCATTTACTGGCCACAGTGCATATGTCCTCCGCTACAAGGCATAAAGATAGAAATCAGTGGATGTCCGATATACCAAGAGTTAACACAAATGATTGTCTAGTTAAAATGTTTTGTTCTCCTTAACCATGGGTGGCCAATGACTAGCTCTCTCTGATTGTTGTGGAACTCTGTAGTTGATACATTGCTAGGTGGAGCACGACACGGAATCATGGGAGGAAGGGCTGTCTGTTGCATCAGTGGTGTATCCTGGTTTTGTGCTGCCCTAGGCATGCCAAAACTCAGGCACCCCCCCCTTGCGCCACACTAAATACACACATTCACTAGCTAACAGACACATACAGTCACTAACAGACGCATACACTCTCACTAACACACTCACTTTTTCTTTTAAAAATTTAACCCCCCCAGCCTCCTTACCTTTGGGAATGCTGGGGAGGAGGGGGTTCTTCCTCTCCCTTGGGGTCCAGTGGCTGCTGGACGTCATATTCCGGCTCCCAGCATCACTCTGCTGGCGGCGCGCGAGGGAGCTGAGCAGAGAGCTCAGGGGAAAGTGCTCCCTCGCCAGCGCCACCTGCATGGATTTTTACCTAGCCATCTGCCCGCCCACCTGGACTGTTAGCCGCAAGGCTAACAAGACATTTGCCCTGGGCATTTGGGGGCGGCTTTTTTTGTGGATAGGAGTGGCTGTTTGAGAAATTGTATGTGACATATTTATGCAACTAAAATATAAATTAGAACAAGAACAATGTATTTTTAAATTTTATTTTTTACACAGACTGATTTCTAAACATATTTATTGTAGTTTAAAGACATTACTTTGGGTATTATTGCTGTGGAGCTCTGTTATACACTCAGACACACCAACGATAAGGAGCTTCTAGAAAAGAGGGACATTTGGGCCAAAATAGGGAAGGCCACTTCTAAATAGGGACACTTGGGAGGTATGCTTTAGGCCACCACTAGTTAAAAAGAAAAAAAAAAGTAAAAAAAAAAAAACACTTCTAGATTGCAACAATTACTTTGTTCAATGTGTGTACTATAAACTTGTGCGGCTTTGCGTTCTATTTAATTGAATGGGAAGAAGTTTATCAAAATCACAAGACATTTTGGCAAAACTAGATTACTTGAACACACAGTAATATAAAATATGTAATGTAAATACATATACATGAATGTTATGTTTGTGTTAAAATCAATTGTTACCACAGTATATTTTTGTGATTTGCAGAATAAAATTTGATGTGCGATATGAATTGTGTGTTACAAAAACAGATTTTGTGAATGTTTGTTTTTTGTGGTATGTACAACTTATTTTGTCTTTTACCATGAGAATTTAGCAATATTAGACTATGTTAAAGAGAATTGTGTATTACAGAAATTATATCTTAGCAAAACACAGAAACACATGTCCAAATGGCTACATTTAGGCAAAAATAGCCAAACTGTGGCCATAGCGGAGTTAGAGATTTTTTTCTAAATAAGCCATTTCTGTCTAAATGATACCAATCAGATTTAATTTGTAACAGTTTGGTGTTTAGTAAATAAGATATCACTGGCACTATGAATGGGAATAAGTTATCACTGTATGCATAAATAAGGAAACAATACCCCTAAAATGCAACATTTCCCCAAAAAGGGACGTTAGAACATGTCATTGGGTCCTCACTAAAAACAATATTGGTTTAGAGGTTTAAACCACTTCAAACATAGCTGATTACAATAAATTCTGTAAAATGACAAAACCTAAAGTCAGTTTAATTCGTTACAAATATATAATAACAGGCTGTGACCTTAGACAGACATACAGTTGATAATGTGACTTTTTAAAATGTTATAAACTGAAAAACAGATAATTGAATAGGTTCATTTTCAACAAAACGAACTGGAAATTTTGTGTTGAAATGTAACACAGATTAGAAAAATTTAAACTAGCTCAACACTCTAACAAATGTATATACTTACTGGGACACTGCAATAAACCGCTGACATCTGATGACGAGTCAGCTGTTGTGCCAGATGCTGAAAGAGAAAAAGTTAAATTATATCTCCGTACGAATTGGAAACAGATCGATTCGTGCAATGCTCACAAAATACAAACAAGATAACTTGCAATTACATTCTTACTGTGACATAGCAGGGAAGAATGACGTTCTACAAATTAGTACAGCCACAGTAAACTGAATTTTGCTAAATACAAATGTTTCATTTTAGCTGTAAAAAGTAAAAAAAAACAAAAAAAACACTGAATTGGATATTTTAACTATGGAGCTATTTTGGCCTAAATTTAGACATGGGTATTAAATCATGACAAGTCACAATTTAGGAAAAAAATACATATATGGTTATTCAGATACATATAAGGAAGATCTAAAATGTTAGTAAGCAAGAATTGGGTCCAGCAATTTAAAAAGGTCAAGAAGGACCTGTGACAATTATTACAGAGAATGATACACACATGGCTAGGAAAAAGTCAATTAGAAATTGTAGGCTAAAAACATTTGAAATTCTAAATTTACACTTTAGTAAATAAAGTTATGTTTGGTGCTCTGCATATGTCAGTCCCTATATGTGTATAGCACCATGATGGGTGGGTATGAACTACCACTACTGAGGCAACACTTGTGTGGCAAACAAAAACCCAAAAATATTTCATCCCTAGTCTATACAACCCGTTTTCACAATATATAAGAATTCCAGATAAAAAAAATTTGTCAGCTATAGCGGAGTGTGGATCATACGTTTTCCTAGTGCACGAGAGAACATTAACAGGTTTATTTACCAAAGTGAATTTCAAATTTAAGGCCAGAGTAGCCAAACAAAGCATAGCTGACAGAGAATGTTTCCAGTTTGACTATTTTCACCTGAAGTTCTCACATTAGTGAATAACCCTGTTTGTACAATTTACAGATTCACCAAACATTGTAGGAACCTTTAAACCAGTGAAATCAGCGCCATGTGTGAGAGCACCGAAATAAACAAACCGAAAGCTCAAAAGATATCTTTTTAAAATGTATTTGCCTTCAGGAAAATATAGCAACATGGAGTTAGTCATACCTGCAGCTGTCTCAGTAACAGCAAAGAGAACCTGCAGTACTATTAACTTCAGAAAAGTCTTCATGCTTGGACTGAGCAGTTAGTATCTTAATGTGACTGGCTTTCCTTCCAGCTTCTCTCAATGGTAGTAAGCACTGAACATACAAGGCTCAGGGTGGAGTAAGCTGAATACATAGCCACATCCCTCAATACAACTTGCAAAATCTCAGCAGGGGAGGGGCAGGGGAAAAGAGGTGTAGATTGCAAGGAAGACTCAATGGGACATTGTATGTTTTATTTATATATTATAGGGAGTAAAACCCAGGTATTTTATAAGCAATCTATTCACTAGATAATTATATGCACAATATTGACAGTTTCTACATTGTCTGATATGGATAGTGCACAGTTCAATAGCCATCATAGGTGTAAACATTGCATGATGCTATAGATACCTTAGGCAGTGTACATATTATGCTGGATTCTGCAGGCATCATACATGGGGAACAAATTGATTCTATAGGCATCATTGTTAATGTGTACATAGGATGCTGTTATAGATAGGCTATGTATAAATGTACTTATTTCATAGGCGTCATCTATAGGTACCCCATGTAGTTTATGGGGTAGGCAAACAGTGGCGGCTCTAGACTTTGTAAGGCCTTAGGCAAAACTCAAACATGAGGCCCCCACTAACACCCAAAGTGGGAAAAATAATAGGGGTTGCATTGTGTTTGTAAGGTGCTGTAGTGTTATTGAAGGACAAGCTTGCAGCGCTGGATACAGAGAGCTAATCTCTGTATTCATTGTTCAGAGGCGTGCAATGTCACGACTCGCTGTGCTGTGAGCTCTCCGACTGTAGTTATGGCAAAATTTGCAAACTAAATTAATTTGAAATAAACTAATTTAATTAGCATTTATGCTAATCATTTATACACGACTGCGGGGTATTCTTACATAGTCCTGAATACATTACTGCCAGTGTGTGTATTTCTGAGTGTGTCTGGCCTTGTCTACCTCTGTATGTGCATGAAAGTGTGTGTCTGATCGAGCGTATCCTTGTGTGTGAATGTATGTCTTTATGAGTATGTGTCTGTGACCGTATGTGTGTGGGGTAGCTGCTTGCGGTGTGTGGTGTTTATGGGAGCTGCCTGTGACCTGTGCATGTGTGTATGATGAATGTCTTCAGTTTGTGACTGTGACAAGGTGAGTAAAGAAGTAACTGTGGCAGGGGGAGTGTGACAGGGTGAGGGTGTAAATGAGACAGGGTTGGGGAGGTGAGTGTGACAGAATGAGTGAGAGTGAGAATGTTAGGGGGGTGATTGTGACATGGTTGAAGGAGGGAGTGTGACAGGGCATGGAGAAGTTAGTGTGACAGGATTGGAGGAAGTTAATGTGACAGGCTGCATGTGGCATAGTTGGGGGTGTATCACAAGGTTGGGGTGAATGTGCCATGTTTGGAGGAGCCAGTGTAACAGAATGGGGGGAGGTGAGTGTGACAATATTAAGGGGGTTAATGTGGCAGGATTAGATTAATGTGGAAGTTTGGGAGGTGGAGGGGCAGTGACAGGAGGTAGGAGAGGTGGAGGGGCAGTGACGGGGGTAGGAGGGGTGGAGGGGCAGTGACAGGGGGTAGGGGTGGAGGGACAGTGACTGGGTGGAGGGGCAGTGACAGGGTAGGAGGTAGTAACAGGCTGCAGTGGGATGGGAGAGGCAGTGACAGGGGTAGGGTGGTGGAGGGGCAGTGACAGGGGTATGGCGGAAGGGCTGTGACAGCGTGGTGGGGATGGAAGGGCTGTAACAGAGGGTAGGGGGCAGTAACAGGAGGTGGGGGATGGAGGGGCATTAACAGGGGTAGGGGGGGTAGTAGAGGGTGGAGGGCAGGACAGGGGTAGGGGGGGTGGAAGGGCTGCAGCTGGTGGGGGGATGGAACAGAGGGTAGGGGGTAGTAACAGGAGGTGGGGGTGGAGGGGCAGTGACAGGGGGTAGGGGTGGAGGGACAGTGACTGGGTGGAGGGGCAGTGACAGGGGGGGTAGGAGGCAGTAACAGGCTAGTGGGATGGAGGGGCAGTGACAGGGTAGGGGTGGTGGAGGGGCATTAACAGGGGGTAGGGAGTAGCAACAGGCTGGTAGGGGGTGGAGGGGCAGTGACAGGGGGTATGGAGGGAAGGGCTGTGACAGCTGGTGGGGGATGGAAGGGCTGTAACAGAGGGTAGGGGGGTAGTAACAGGAGGTGGGGGATGGAGGGGCAGTGACAGTGGGCAGGGGGTCAAGGTCAGTGACAGGGGTAGGAAGGGATGGAGGGGCATTAACAGGGGTAGGGGGTAGTAGAGGGTGGAGGGGCAGTGACAGGGGGTAGGGGGGTGGAAGGGCTGTGACAGCGGTTGGGGGGATGGAACAGAGGGTAGGGGGTAGTAACAGGAGGTGGGGGATGGAGGGGCAGTGACAGGGGGTATGGGGTAGTAACAGGCGGTAGGCAGTGGAGGGGCAGTGACAGGGGGTAAGGGGTGGAAGGGATGTGACAACGGGTGGGGGGATGGAAGGACTGTAACAGAGGGTAGGGGGTAGTAACGGGGGAGGGAGGTAGTAACAGGGGGTGGGGAGATGGAGGGGCAGTGACAAGAGGTAGGGGGGGTGGAGGGGCAGTAACAGGGGGGTAGGGGGTATAGCAACAGGGGGAGGGGGATCTTAAATACCTTCCCTTGTGGTCCGGCTCTCTGGTCTTCAGACCACGTGGTAAATCTCGGATTCTCCAGTCAGAGTATTGCCGTGGTAACCCGCAGCAACGCTCTGACAGGCGGGAGATTGAGAGACACTTCAGTCTGCAGCTCACTCCCAGACTGACAGGAGGGGCCTTGCACCCAGTAGCATTATGGGCAAGCCGCCTGGCCTCCTCCTGTGTCATGGTAGACTACACCCTAAGACGATTTAGGCGGCACCAAGGCCCCTGTAAGCAAGGCCTTAGGCGGCCATCTAAATCGCCAAATTAGAGAGCAGCCTCCGTAGACAAATAGTTATTGCAGGCAGATGGCTTTTACCTAGGTAAATAACTATTTAAGCTTTAAAACACTATTTGCTAGGCAGAGAAATAGTTTTGCACGTTTCCATTTGCCTAAGAAACAGGTGCACATGCAATCTGGGAAAGTGGCTCCTTCTCATCGATAGGTACTCAGGCATCCCTAGAAAGTTGTCTCTGCTCAGCAATAAACAACCAGGCATCCTCAGAAAGTGGCCCCTTGCTTGCAGATAACTGCCTAGGAACCCTTCATGAAAGTTCCCCCAGCTTGCAAATAAGTGACGAGGAATCACAGAAAAGTGGCCCTTTCTTGGCAATAAATGCCCCAGGTACTCCAGAAAAGTGGTTCCTGCTCACTAATAGATTGGGAAAGTGACCCCTGCTTGCCAATAGATGCCTATTCTCTTCAGAAAGATCGCTCCCGGCTCACCAATACACACCCAAGCACCCCAGTAAAATGGCCCATTCGCCAGCGGCGTAACTAGTAACTAGGAATACCTCCATGAAAATGGCGGAATATAGTAGCAATATTAGGTAGTATATCAGAAATGATTTGCCCCACTCCAGATTTAGCACATTTATTTCTGAATTTTTTGACACTGTAATGCTGGAAACCATTTTAAGATCTAGGAAAGATAGGAGATTTGTAGTTGAGGCATACTTCGACATATGATGAGGTGCCTAAATTGATTAAATTGTCCTGTTAAGTAGCCAGCAATGTGTTGGTGGATTTTGGTGGAGGTATAGCTGGTAGATGACGCCTTGCTAATGTATGACTCATTGGTGATACACCTACTGTGAATTTTGTTATAGTCATGGGAGCGTACACGGATGTGATAATTGCTCCACTTGTCTAAATATAATTTATATATTGCTTAATGAAAAATCTCAATTATGTGATTATATACAGAATTTTTTGTATATTCTAAATATCTTTGATATCTGGGACCTGCATGTCCCATATTGCTTCCTTATTTTTTTACTTTTTTCTTTATTTCTTATTTTCAAAATAAAAAATCTTGATTCCATAACTAGAAACCTCCAGGCCCCGTTGTGAAAATTGCCCTGTACACTCCACCTCCATATGCCTCATTCCTTTGCCCCCAGCCTCTCCAAGTGTCTACTCCCCCCAGACCTGACATGTGTTTTTTTCCCTCCCCACAGCCCCTCTATGTGTCTTATTCCCACCTCAGGCCCCCCAAGTGTCTCATTCCCTCCCCACAAAGCCCCTCCGTGTGCCTCATTTCCTCCTCCCAAGCCCCTCCATGTGACTCATTTCCTCCCCCCAGTCCCTCCATGCGTCTCATTTCCCCCCAGCCCCTCCATGTGCCCCACTCACTCTCCCCCAGCCCCTCCATGTGTCCCATTCCCTCCTCCCCCCCAGACCCTCCATGTATCCCACACCCTCCTTACGGTCACAGGTGTCTGAGTCACAGCTACCCCTGCGACCGTAGTAGGTGCGCCACTGCCATTTGCCAATACTCTTTCATTTCCTTGAGGGGTTCCATGGCAGTATTTGGCAAATGGGCCACTTTCTGGGGTTGCCTGAGTGGCTATTGGTGAAAAGGGACCACTTCCCCAAGTTGCCTGAGTTGTCTGAATACTGGTTAGGAAAAAGGTGTTTGCCTAGGTAAATGGTGGTTAATGATTTTCCTAGACAAGAGTTTTTCCCTGAAAATACTATTTGCCTACCATGTGATCTCTGGTGGTTCAGCTGAAGTATGAACCCTGATCATCCTGACCACATCCCTGGTAGTCCAGTGGGGTAGCACGTGGTCTGCACCACTGGTGGGTGCAGACTACAAAATGCCCTTCCGGTGTTCTGTAACCCAGCAGCAGCACTCTGACACATCCACTGAATCCTAGAATCATGAGGGAGCCTTTCAAGAACCCCCTGAGGTAATCTATTTAGCATAGTTGCGTATTGGCAAAATAATAAATAATGATTTTGCAAGGAAGGGGGAGGGGGGATTGATTACTGATACTGAAGACCTTCAAAGTAAGCTTTATTATTATTCATCTACCAGCTATTCAGTTGTAATAAGAAACTGATTTATACACTAAACAATGATTTCTGGTAGACAACTGATTTGTAAACTGTATTCCTTTAGCAGAGCTAGAGATTTAATTTGACCAGTTAGCTCATGTTGTGCATATTTTCTCCTTAGGCTTGAATGTAATTCATTATTTTGTACTGATGAAGACTCATGAAGAATCACAAGTGATTTTAATTTTAGTGGTTTACATTCTTCCCCCACACTTAGGTCACCTTCATAGTGCAGTGCTTACTAGACTTGTTTTTAGAAAACAACAAACTGGTTTGTGCCAATCCATAATGAGAGCAGTGGCTCCACTGTTTCTATAAACAATATTTTTTAGTCTGATTTCCCACATCAACAAATATACTTTATAGATATCACATTTGCTGTTTGTAAGAAATAACATATATTGCACATCAGAGTCAAATAAATCCAGAATTTTCAGTCAATGTCACAGTTGTATGTAATTTCCTAAAACTGTGACTTATTGAATTGGTCAACTGTAGGGAAAGGCACCCACCAGGGATATAGAGAGGATTATTCACTTAAGTATGACCAAGAAGGAGATCGTAGTGTATGTAGAGCTTCTGGTGTGCACCTTTGCTGGGTGCAGAGCACAAGCTCCATGAGCTCTCCTGCATTAGAATGGGTTGTGACAGTGAGGCTCTTGGACCAGTGCTCATGTTGTGTTGGCATTGCAGGGGTTGGCTGGGGATATCCTTTAATTGCCTGTATTGGCCTTCACCCATACTCAGCACAACCCACCCATTTTCTTTAGTATCATACAGAGCCTAGCCATGTATTATAAATCAAATAAAGTAGCTCCTTAAATTTGTTATTGGCTTGAAAGCAAACATGATAATATAAATGTATTGCTTATTACAATGTGTTCCCATAAAATAACATATCCCTATCATAAAATAACATTCCAGATGTTTTTAAATTGAATTTCCTATTCTCCTCAACCAGCTTCTCCAGTAGTGGCCGGCTTCTATGAAAGGCAAAGGCCTTCCATTTGTTAAAGGGACACTATAGTCACCTGAAGAAACTTTAGCTTAATGAAGCAGTTTTGGTGTATAGAACATGCCCCTGCAGCCTCACTGCTCAATCCTCTGCCATTTAGGAGCTAAATCCCTTTGTTTATGAATAGTGATGTCGCGAACCGTCCACGAACTTGCCACGAACGGTTCGCCACGAACTCCGGTCAGCTGACACATCCCTGCCAATCTCCGGCAGACCCTCCCTCCCAGACCCTCCTACTTCCTGGACAGCATCCATGTTGAAGGCAGCTTCAACATGGATGTTGTCCAGGAGGTGAGAGGGTCTGGGAGGGAGGGTCTGCCGGAGATTGGCAGGGATGTGTCAGCTGACCGGAGTTCGCAGCGAACCGTTTGAGGCAAGTTCGCGAAAGGTTCGCAACATCACTATTTATGAACCCTAGTCACACCTCCCTGCATGTGACTTGCACAGCCTTCCATAAACACTTCTTGTAAAGAGAGCCCTATTTAGGCTTTCTTTATTGCAAGTTCTGTTTAATTAAGATTGTCTTATCCCCTGCTATGTTAATAGCTTGCTAGAACCTGCAAGAGCCTCCTGTATGTGATTAAAGTTCAATTTAAAGATTGAGATACAATTATTTAAGGTAAATTACATCTGTTTGAAAGTGAAACCAGTTTTTTTTTCATGCAGGCTCTGTAAATCATAGCCAGGGGAGGTGTGGCTAGGGCTGCATAAACAGAAAAAAAGTGATTTAACTCCTAAATGACAGTGAATTGAGCAGTGAAATTGCAGGGGAATGATCTATACACTAAAACTGCTTTATTTAGCTAAAGTAATTTAGGTGACTATAGTGTTCCTTTAAGCTTAGTAAATGATTCAATACTATTAGAAAAAAAAAAAATCTAATGATTTATTTCTAGACGTTTAATGTGTGCACTGGTTTGTTAGACATAATTTGTGCATGTTGCTTTATTTCATAAGGCCCAGATATATTAATTAAGATTACAGCAAACAAAGATATGGAGAATATAAAATAAACCAATGATAATGAATGGTAGGGATAGTAACACAGCTGGGACCTGGGAAAACAGACTTTAATGATTATGTGTACCAAGTGGGAATTTCTATACTTCCTTGTGTGGTTCACATCTAAGGATCGATAACTAAATGTACAAGATTCCATAGCTGACCTGCTCTCTCCACCATGGGTGTAACATGGAACATTTACTTCCTAAATTAAAGTGCCATCGGCATAAATGTGCACTATTTTACTTTGTACACTTTGAAAATGTAATTAACGAACATGGAGAATATAAAGGGATTGAGAATGGAGCATTGGGTTACTCCATGTGGAATTTTGAGAAAGTGGGAGGCATGTTTTAAGACATACTTTAAGGGCCCCTCCAGATAAGTATGACAGAAATGAGTTAAAGAGTCTAAGCACTTTAACAACTTTGCAATATTGCATATTTTAGAATGGAGAAACTACCTACCTTTTCAATGACTCACCTCACCTCTACTCCAGCGCCACCATTTCCTAATCTTCATGGATGTTACTCATCTCCAGTTGAACTCTTGCTTCTCCAGTTCTCTGCTGTGATTTACTCTCATGGGGGACTCTTCCCAAGCAGAGCAAAGCTTCTGTGTTAGCACCATGCCAGCATGTTAAAGGACCACACTTTTTCCTGGCACTATAGGGTCTTTAGGTTTCCCCCCACCCTCAGGGTCCCACTCCCGCTGGGCTGAAGGGGGCTGAAGAGCTTAAACACTTACCTTTCTCCAACACCGGGCTCCCTCGGCGCTGGGGAACTCTCCTCCCTCTTCGGACGTCCAGCGTCTTGTCACTCGCGGAAGCGTCTCTAGCGCCTCTCTGAAACTGCTATGTTTACAGCTGCAGGGTTAACACTAGATGGACTTGGCACCCAGACCACTTCATTGAGCTGAAGTGGTCTGGGTGCCTATAGTGGTCCTTTAACAAAGTGACGTTAGTCACTCCATTTCTATAATAACTAGCCAGTTAGGCTAGGGAGTTACTAGCAGCTTTGACTAGGGAGTTACCAAAGCAACTACAGCGCATGCAATGTGTGATCTATTCATGGAGAGCAGAATGACTACCTTTAGGAGGTCTTTTCTGCTCCCCCTTGTCTGCCAATTCTTCAGCATAGAAATTGTGTCAAAGAATCGATTGACAACTGCCAGAAGGACCTATTTTTAAATAGGTTTTTCTGTCAATCTTTACATTTGCTGGCAAATCTGCTAGTACAATATAGAGACAGATGTTTATGCTCTTTCAAATGAGAATAAGTTGAAATCTTTATGACATGTACGTACCCTTTAAAAAGGCAGAGATTTGTTAAAATATTTGCCTTTTATAAGCTATACCCTTGGCTGTCAGTTCTGTGCGGTCTGTGTCAGTTTCTGTCTAGATAGTGGGTGAACCATGTCATGCACAACTTGGGCTGAGCTCTCTCTCCTCTTCAGAGAGAGACAAACAGCACACTGCGCAAAACCAGCTTGCGGCTTTGTTAATTCGCTATGCACAACCAGCTTTGCTTTACTGTGAGCTAGGCTGTGTACATACTGATAGCAGCTGTGGTATGGTTGCTATAAACTCTTGTTGAGCTGTTGCTCTCAGCATCAAGGTAGTCTTGCTTGAAATATGTCCACTCCATTGAACAATGCCCCAATTTCTCAGTAGCAGAAACAATAATAGATTGTATTTATTTACTTTTTAAAATGTATTTTACCCAAGGGCAGGTTGATTAAAAATGGAAACTAAATAAATATATTTTAATTTGTATGTCTTGGCAAATACAAACACAAATATGCGATTTTACATAAAATTTAAACATATAAAGAGTTATTAAGATGTAAAACCTGAAAACAGGAACATTTATGTAATATTTGTCTCACAGTATACTTTGCTTTGCCAGTCTTTTAGAAAGGCCAGAGGGTTGTGGTTTAGTTGAGAGTATTGCGAGTTGTAGTTTAACCGTGGCTTGAGATTGTGCAAGTAGATTAAATGATTGTATTTGCATCTTCTTAAATAGTTCATGCCCTCTGTAATGTTATGTGCAGAATTAGCTGCCTAGTTTGTTATTACCTACAACAGTAGCCTGTGCTGACACAACATAGAGCAGCGTGTAGGACACAAAGGAGTAGTTGGTGCTAGAGGGGGCTTAAAACTAGCTAGATGCTGCTCCTCTCTGCTCCAATCTGCCCCATCTATTGGGAACCAAAATAAGAGAACTCCCATATCACCAGACAAAGATTAAGATCCCACAGGGCCCGCCTCTTGGCAGATCTAAACGTCAACTTCAAACCTTCTAAATAGTCCATTGATGAGAAGAACAGGCTAGTTTTTGTCAAGTTTTTTGCTTGAGCTAGCAGAAGATATCTAGCTCGAAAAGAAGAGGTGAAATAGGTGAGTTATTGGATACTCAAATCTCAGACTCTTTCGAAGACTTACTTATCTGCACATTAAGATACATACTTTCCACTTTTCCATGTCATCTCTGGGTGTGTGGGAACATTTCAGCTTTCATCTCTTTATGTACTTTTATTCAAAAAATGTTGCTATACATATTTATTAAAAATGATTTGGCTGAGGAATAGTGATCAAAAAATCTTTACAATGTTACCATCTAGAGAACCCTTTACTTTTTAAATCTGTGATAACCAAGTGTTAAAATAAATTAACTAACATCAGATCTAAACTAACAATAGTTTTTGATATATATTTATATAACATCACAATTTCTTTGGCTTGGCCGATGTTTTAATAAATTGATGATTTCATTACTTGATATAATACTAACCCCTTGTTGACACAATCTAATCTCACGCATAACATTTATTTATCACAGAAAGATGGGAAGGACGTTTAGAATTGATGCCAGGGGTTGAAATAATATTATTATGCATTAATTTTATCCCAAATTATTGTATGGTCAAGTTACTGCTTTTCACTCTGTTAATTAATAAGAGTATGGGACTAAAACTTGTATCCTAAAAAAATGTACACATTACAATTTTACAATTTAAATTTCTAAAAGTCCTGTATCCATGAAAATTTAATTTAATTTGCATTCTTCAGATTATCTTTTGTAACTTTACACCAATTTGCTTTAAAGTCCCATTTAACATTATTTAGCATTATTTTAAATTGTGTGCTTCTATTTCAGTTTTACTATAGAGCTGTGAAAGCAATCGTAATTGTAATTGTTGCATAAAAAGGGGGGGTTAGGGGAACAAACAGTTTATTGCATGTAAAATGTATAAAAATGTAATCTGTATGATAATTAACCAATATATACACACTGTATAGTTTAGTACAGTCTGACACGGATAGTTTCACATGACATCCACAGGAGGCAAAACAAACTTATGCATGTTTAACAATCAACTGTGAAAAATTATATGGTTCTACAAACTTCCCTAGATTTACACTGACATGCATAGATTTAGATTTTTATTAAAACTAAACAGTGCATGACAAAAATATTGTCTGTAGTAACTATTATTATTATTATTATTATTTATAAAGCTCCATCAAGTTCCGTAATGTTAGATATTAATATTAACTGGAATAAATATATGCAACCACCACAATGTAGCTAAACCCAGTTTGTAGTTATAATGATTGCCTACAAAGTACAAGTTTTACTACTAAAGTGAGAATTGTAGGGAATTCAAGGATAATTGTAGGGAATTCAAGGGATTTTCAAATTTAAGCCAAAATAGCTGAACTGAAAAAAACTCTCCAAGTGAGCTATGCTTCTAGTTTGGCTACTTTAGCCTGAAATGTTTAATTTCCTTTGAATTACTGACAGTTTTCACTTTAATGAAATACTGTGACACGTGGCTGATCTGACACATACACAGGGGCATAGGAATCACGTACGCAAATTGGAATAATGGGGGATATGACACTTGCCTTTATATTTTATATTTTGTACTATGTGTCTCATGCAGTGTTTGGACGTTCTAGTCCCTTGACGTTGGCTGAATCCTCACACAGGAAGAAGCACTCAAGATGGGGTCCCTTTTTCGGAGTGAGGAAATGTGTCTCACCCAGCTGTTTCTACAGGTGGAGGCAGGGTACTCCTGTATTGCTGAGCTGGGAGAACTTGGCTTGGCGCAGTTCAGAGATGTGAGTATCATGAAGTGTAAAATTACATCAATGTTCTCATAAGGTCATTCTATGTGTTCTTGGATTTCTGGTCAGAGCCAGATTTACATTTCAGTTGCTTGTAGGCACAAAAGCACCACTTGCTTTCCAACAACCCAAAAAATGCAGATAAGGTAAGTATAATAAACATTTTAACTGTACATTGCAGACCCAAAAAATCTATATTCATATTTGACAACTACATGTGCATAAATGTATGTGCATATCTCCACTCTACTTGTAAGATATTGTTTGAACCACTGATCATAGCGAGTATATGCAGTTGTGAACATGCACGCAGGGTAAAAGGAACAAAATAGAGTTAGGAACACAAACCTGTATTCCTATTGCAATACTTATATTGTCCTAATATTCTCCCCATAGTTGGTGAAATGGCTTGCTTTTTTCCAGCACCAAGGCTCTCTGGGTAGGTCTCCTCATCCCGCGATGTTATGTCAATGGTGTGGCCTAATGTGCATGAATCAATTCTTTCCTGTGGGAAATTTGATAATGTGTAACTGAGTAAAACTCTGTTAGGGACCTGGATGCGACTCTAATGGCAGTCCGAAAGACAGTCTTAGAGGTGGAGTTAACCCTGCAATGCAATCAGTGCCATTTTACATTGCAGGGCTTAGGGCACTGGGGCACCACACCCAGACTACTTCAATGAAATTAAGTGGTCTGGGTGCCTTTAGTGTCGTATTAAAGATCATTTTAGAAGTGGTTTGGGTACTGGGGGGTTAACATCAGGGATAGATTACATAGGGTGTTAAGAAGAACATAAGAAGGTAAGATAGTTAAGAAAATGAAAGCTGTTTATGATTATTGAATTTAGAGCTGAGTTAAATTTATTATTGGGGTACTTGAGGAGTTTAGTTTTGAATAAGAGTTAAACATAGGATTAAGGCAAAAGGTTTATTTTCAGGATTAGGCTTTGACTGCTGGAGTTTGAAGGGTTATTTGCAAAGTACCCACCCTCCTATGTCTTCTGTAGACCAGTCAGCCTCCTATAATGCAGGCAGAATTATACAATGTGTATCAGTGGGCAGATGGAAAGTGATCCCTTCTTCTTCCTGTCCAAACTCACACACAGATACTGGAGAAGCTGGAACAGTACTGGCCCCTGTTCCTCACACAATCAATACATCCCTAACCATAGGCGTGCGCACGGGGTGTGCCGGGTGTGCCTGGGCACACCCTAATCCCGCGGCACGCCTATGTGTTGAGACCGGCAGGGGGGATCTCAGGATCCCCCCTGTCGGCTCATGCATAAGCCTCCCCTCATCGACTCATCGAGCTCTTGCCAGCAGCTTCGCCGGGTTCCTCTCGCGAGATCTGAGCGTTGTCGTGGCAATGCTCAGATCTCGCGAGAGTGAACTCTAGCCCCGCAGGCTAGAGTTCACTCACCACTGGACCACCAGGGAAGGCAGAAAGGATCCCCCCTCCCTACATAAGTTAATAAGGGAGGGGGATATTAAGTAATCTGCCCCCACCTCCACTGGACCACCAGGGAAGGCAGCAGCACGGTCCCCCCTCCCTACATAATGTAAAAAGGGAGGGGGGATATTTAGTAACTAATCTGCCCCCACCTCCACCCCCAAAAATCACCCAAACACACAGCACACACATACACATACAGCACACACACAGCACCCACACAAACAGCACACACAAACAGCACCCTCACACACACAGCACCCACACACACACACACACACAGCACCCACACACATACAGCACCCTCACACACACAGCACCCACGCACATACAGCACACAAACAGCACCCACACACACAGCACCCACACACACACAGCACACACACACACACACAGCACACACACCACCCACACACATACAGCAAACAAACAGCACCCACACACATACAGCACACAAACACACACAGCACCCTCACAAATACACACTGCACCCTCACAAACACACACATCACCCTCACACACAGCACACACACAGCACCCTCACACACAGCACACAAACAGCACCCTCACACACACACAGCACACAACTAGTACCCTCACACACAAACAGCACCCTCACAAGCGCGCAGAAACACAAACACCCCTCACCCTAACACAGCACACACACACAGCAGTGTATGTGTGTGTGTATATATGTGTGTATATATATATACATACATACATACATACATACATATATATACACGGCTTGTGCTTGTGCTTTAGGGTGCACATCCTAATGCAATAGGCTGTGCATGCCTATGTCCCTAACACAAAGAGAGGCATTAAACAGACATTGGCTATACATACCTTGCTGCTCTAAATTAATTTTTATCCCAGTCCAGCAACGATACCAACAGAGAGCTCGACAATGTAATGCTAGTTTATTATATTTGTTATATAATTATTATGACACTCCAGTCAGTGACAGAAAAAGTATTTGGTTTATGGCTGTTGCTGGAGCTGCTAACAAACGAATAGTATTCACAGGGTTACACTTAAAGGGACAGCTCATTGAAGTGGTCTGGGTGCAGAGGTGTAAATAGAAACCACAGGGCCCCGGTGTGAAAATTGACCTGCCCCCCTTATGCCTCCCCATCTTTCCCCCCCGTACCTCTATGTGTCACATTCACGCCCCCAGTCCCTCCATGTGTTTCATTCACGCCCCACAGGGTGAGTGTGGCATGGTTGGAGGGATGAGTATGACAGAATTTGAGGGGTTAATGTGATAGGGTGTGTGTGGCAGGATGAAAGGGGGTGAGTGATGGAGATTGAGTGTGACAGAATTAAGGGTAAGGGGTAAGTGTGATAGTGCTAGAGAAGGTGAGTTTGATAGAATGAATATGGCAGGGCAATGGGAGGTGAGTATGGCATAGGTGAGTGACAGGATTGGAGGAGTTATTGTGAGTTTGGCAGGGTGAAGGGGGTGACAGTGTGTGTGGTGGGGTGACAGTTACGTAGCCACACATGAAGATAAACAGACAAACACACACTGACATACATGCAGATACACACCATATAACACATACAGATACATACACAGACACACATGCAGATACACACCATATAACACATACAGATACATACACAGACACACATGCTGATATACAGACACACCTACAGATACAGACGCACAGATACACACAGACACGCAAACTAACACACAGATACACAGACACACAGAATGACACACATTCAGATACACAGAATGAAACTCCTACAGATACAAACACTGACACACATACAGATACACAGACACACACTGACACATGCAGATGCACAGACACTTAATGACAAACATTCAGATACACAGAATGACACTCATATAGATACAAACAGTGACACACATACAGATACGTAGGGCAGACACACACATAGGGCACGACACACAGATAGAGACACACATACTTACAGACACACACACACACACAACTATATACAGACACACATATATACAGACACACATACATACATAAATACATACACACACAAACACACAGAGACACACATACATATAGACACACATACATACCGACACAAATACACACAGACAAACATATATACACACACATACATACAGACACACACATACATACAGAGACACTTACATACCGACACAGATACACAAACACACACATGCAAAATGTTTTAGTCACCCTCTTGTTTTCTACCTTTTAGGTGCAGGAGTGTGACGTCCTTGGGGTCCAGTGGCTGGCTCAGGCTGATGGGAGTCAGAGCTCCCACTCTGACTCCTTTTCCTCCCACATGGCGCTCTCTGTAAGCTGTGAGGAAGTGACCAGGGCTGTCCCTTCCTCCCAGTGTCTGACCTCATCACAGGGGGACCGGTTTCGCTGTTTAAGAGCCGCAGCACTGACCGGACCCCCTGGAAATACATTGCCATCGGGTGGCCCTAACAGCATGGTGCGGTGGTGTGTTGAAGGAACACTATAGAGTTAGGAATACAAACCTATATTTATAAAGCTATAGTGTCCCTCTCCCTAGCTCTAAATAGGCCCCCTCTCTTATTGACATAAAAATTAGAAAAAATAGAGATTTACTTACTTCCTTCAGCACCAAGGCGCTGCTCACCTCTCTTCCTCACATGGCATCATGAAGGAGGCAGGCATCCTCTGGCTTGGTCTAGTACAAAGCTCCTCATAGAGGAGCACTGGGGACCTATTGCCTATGTGCAGCGAGTGCCGCACATACTTTCAAACTTTCCCATAGGAAAGCACAAAGGTACATGCTTTCCTATGGGACTTCCGTGGCATGTGACTGAGTTTAACTCAGTCAGTGCAGTGGACATACAGCCACACCAGCTCGGGGTGCACAGCACAGTGCTACCAGTTACTGAATGTAGCTTGGAGGTGAGCAGGTAAGGGAGGGGGATGGGGGAGAGACACATGGAGGTGTTAGGAGAAAGAATGAGACACATGAAGGGGGGGAATGAGACATATGGAGGGACTGGGGTGAGGGAATGAGACACAAGGCAGAGCTAAGGGGGATAAATGAGACACATGGGGTGGGATGAGACACATGGAGGGGCGAGAGGGGAAAATGAGACACATGGAAGAGCTGTAGGGAGAATGAAACACAAGGCGGGGCTGGGAGGGAAATTAGACAAATGGGTGAGGCAGGGCTATTTTCTCACTAGGGCCCTGTGGCTTTTAGCTATGCCACTGGTGTGAGGCTTGGGTAAGAAAGGCGGAGTTGAGGGAGTGGAGAGGATGGTTTGGAATGTAGAATGAGATGAGAAAAAAGAAGTACAGAGGGAGTGAGGGACCATGCTTATTTGAAGGCATTTAACACGAGGACAGTTAAAGGTTTGATAAAGGGATAGAGCATAAGCAGAACAGGGCATGTTAGGGAGTACGTTTGCAACTTTTTGCATTTGTTGAAGTGGAGTAATCGAATGTTGTGGAATGCCAAGTATTAGGATGTTATAGTAATCAAGCCTGGGAAAGTGGATATTCAGTGGATAGGGAATTTTGCAGAAGAGATTAGTAGTGGGTGGATCTTCTGAATACTAAATAGGTGAAAACAACAGACAGAAGTGACAGTGCTCAAAGAACACACTAGGCAATGATTATGTGATTGCAATTGCTGGCAAGAGTGAAAAAACAGTAAAATAATGATGTATGGTGATAAGGGAATGTACCACACTATTTTCTGCACAATTAAAAAGATACACATTTTGTATTTTCACAAACTACCAGGGTAGAAATGATCATCCTATAGGGAATTAAGCATTTTAGGGATGTGTTTTAAATAGGATGACCAATGTGACACCTACTATGCTTTTCCAAGTTACTATACATATGATTACTGAAATGTGAAGCTTTAAATATATACAATTATGTATTATACATTATAGCATCATACAGAGGTCTGTGTCTGAGCAGCAGATATGGTCCATAAATGGCACACCTGTGGCAGTTATATCCCTTTGAAAGTAAACTACTCAAACACAGCTTTTTCTGTTTCTGGGGTTTTACAGACGATATACTGAGAGACTTACTCCACTTATAACACATGAAGAATATAATTAATGATATTCAAATAAGTGAGTTAATTTAATAAACCAATAACTTTGTCATAGAAACAAGAGACTTTTTTTTTTATAACAAAATAGCCAGACTGGGAAAAACCCTCAAACTTTGCTATTGTTTTTAGCTTAGCTATTCTGATCTAAAATGTGCTATTTCCTTGTAATTCTATCCATAATTCTTGTTTTAGTAAATACATAAACAAATGTAATCCATATGTTCACATTTTTAATGTAGTATATTGATATTGATAACATCAAACTTGGACAGATGTCCCCTATCCTCCAATATTGGTCTATTTAATTTTTTTTATTCATTTCAGTTGAATGTCAGTGTAAACAACTTCCAACGCAGATATGTGAATGAGGTTCGTCGGTGCGAGGCAATGGAGAGAATCCTTCGTATGTACCATAATTTATAAATGAATAACAAGTACTATGTAAATGAGAAGAGAGACATAAGTCTGTGATAAAACAAGACATGTAGTCTTTACAACACGTGAACATAAAAAACATCCCTTTACATGTATATAGAGAAAAAAGTAGACGGGGCTACTACATTTTGTTGAACTAACAACTGAATTGTAAAATATATACCAAAAAGTCTTGTATGTTTTTCTGTGTTGCCTATTTTGCACTTTTTTTTCCGGGGGTTTCACAACTTAATGAAATTACATTATGAGCTTTCTGAAGCAGAGAGGCAGTAATTCCAATTTCAGCAGATTGTGTTCTTCTTTAATATTAAATCAACACTCTAAACACCATAACCACTACAGCAGACATTTTCAACTTCTTTTGTGCCTTTTGTTTCAGACTTTTTTCACTCTTTTCTGTACTCCAAAGAATTTCTGTCATATTTTACTCCTCATTTATGTTTTTGCTGATTTTACGATAATTTTCAGTAAATAACAATACAAAAAGTAATATAATCAGTAAATAAGAATATAAACAAATAATGGAAAAAAAAGAGACAGGATAGCAATTTGATTATATATTATGCATTAAACAAAAAGCAATAACTGGAACTATGCTTACCTGTCACACAAAATCATCATACAGACACTGGCAAAAATTGATTGGCAAGAAATGTTGCACATTTGCTCCTTTTTGAACAAAAAAAAAGAACAAAAATGTAAATGTGAGAGGGGACAACTTCATGGAAAAAGTGCAAAGAGCAAAATTATGGCCCCCCCTTCCCTCTGTAATGCATACCTTCCAATATTTCAGATGGACACTTTCATTTTAGGGGTTTAAGTGGGTGTTAAGAGACATTTTAGGGGACTTAGTAATATCAATTTAAGCAACTAAAATGTAATTTTGAGCAAGAATAATGTATCTTATTTTCACAGATTGATTTCTAAATACATTTATTGTAGTTAAACCCTTAAGGACCAAACTTCTGGAATAAAAGGGAATCATGACATGTCACACATGTCATGTGTCCTTAAGGGGTTAAAGACACATTCCTGTGAATATTATTGCTGTGGAGCTCTGTTATACACTCAGACATGCCAAAAAATAAAGAGCTCCTAGAAAAGATGGACAATGGGATAGAGAAGAGAGACAGTGGGAAATTGGGCTCCGATAAGACCTGTCCCATCTAAATAGGGAAACTTGTGAGAGATACATAATCACTATGTCATTTGTACTTTTTCCATTGCCCTTCTTTCCTGTCATGTTCCTGCTGCTCTATATCTTTATCAATTCTAATCTCCACTCTTCTAATCAGCACTGTGCTAAGATCTGTGACTTGTGTCACTAACATGTGCAGCTTAACATTGAACATTAACATTGAAGCTTTAGATATGGCTGGTGGAGAAGGGGTGAAAAAAGAGGTTGGAAAAGGATAACTGGTCCTAACCACTGTTAACCACTCTATGGCAAACGTGGGTGTAGGTTTTTCAATGACAACCGCTTTCCTAGACCATCAAGGATTTTTCCCCTACCAACCCCCTGCAAAATTATTTGTCCATGATCTGCCCATTCCCCAACCCATGTTTCCTATAGTCATGGTTTCTAGGTTGAGATGTAGACAAGTCTGAAAACTACATAGAAACATAGAATGTGACGGCAGATAAGAACCATTCGGCCCATCTAGTCTGCCCAATTTTCTAAATACTTTCATTAGTCTCTGGCCTAATCTTATAGTTAGGATAGCCTTATGCCTATCCCACGCATGCTTAAACTCCTTTACTGTGCTAACCTCTACCACTTCAGCTGGAAGGCTATTCCATGCATCCACTACCCTCTCAGTAAAGTAATACTTCCTGATATTATTTTTAAACCTTTGTCCCTCTAATTTAAGACTATATCCTCTTGTTGTGGTACTTTTTCTTCTTTTCCTGCTGCTCTATTACATTGTCTGCCTACTTTTAAGTCATCTGAAATAATTACCCCTGAATCCCTTTCCTTAGCTGTTGAGGTTAGTAGGGTATCAAATATCCTATACTCTGCCCTTGGGTTTTTATGTCCAAGGTGAAACTATAAACTATAGACAGCATTTTCCTTTAGCTTTTCTTTTAGCTTTCCTCTAAGCTTAGTATTTATCTGTCATCATATTCAATATAAAAATAATTGAATAACTTTATCTGTAAGAGTATACATTCCCCAGCACTACTATAGAATTTTTTTTAGTGATTAGATAAATATTCAGATTGTAAAATAATATTAAACTTACAGAATTAATCAGCATTTATTTGTTGCCAGTGAGAATAACAGCACCAATAAACTTAGTATCTGCTTTCATTTTTCTACATTAAAGTCAATGTGTGCTTTAATGTGCGATTGGGTAACTTTTAGGATTTCTGGAAAGTGAGATGGAAAATGACAAGATTGTGATCCAATTGCCAGAGAAACTTCCACAGACCCCACTGCCACGGGAAATGATAGATCTGGAGGTGAGAGAGATAAACTAGATAGCAGGATCAGTGGGCAAAAACAGAACAATGCTGGCTGGGGTGGGTGGGCAATGTCTTCTATGCTCCCTTATCTTTGGTGTAATACTCCTAATAAAGCCACAGGCAGCCCGTTTGATGATCCGATATTCAGGAAGATGCACTCCTGCCCCACTTTTGTACCTTTTCTGGGCTCCCTTGGACGTTAGTACTGGGTGTTTTGGTAAAGTCCTATTTTTCTAGTTCCACTGGGGAGATAGCTCCATTTATCCTTATTGGCTACATGTCCATCCCTCATCCAAAACCTACCAAAATACAGTCATGTCTGCTTTACTCAGGAATGGACCCAGCATTTCCAGACCTGCCACTAGAATGAGTCAGGCAATATATTTGAATAACATGAATATGTATAAATACCCCTTATATGCATCAACAAAAATAAATGTGTAAAAATAGAGTGACAGGATCATATGTGTGGCCACGTGTATTGTAACAGGATGGTCAAGTCTGATTGAACCACAAAGGACTCCTAAGACCATACTTTGTGTAGAGCTGCCACTGGGGATAGGCAGGTGTGGCTAACTATTAGCCCTGATTTGTTCTGCACACAACTTTTTTTATTTGTTCGTAGAAGTGATTGCGATTAAATTTACTTTAGGTATCCCTAAGCACACGTATTACAGCCACAATAATGGATGATATTGAACAGGATTGTTTGGTACAGTCTGTCAACTTTACTTGACTGATTATCTGAACTGCTCCCAATTATTAGATGCTAAATAATTCTGGGGTAATGAGAATAGATCTTCGGTGTAGAAATCTCATTTAATTTTCTGAGAGTGTTTGTTCCATGACTAATGCACTTTTGGAGGTCCGGTTCGATGAGACTGCACTTTTAATAATGACTAACCATTTTCCCTGTAACAGACAGTCCTAGAGAAACTGGAGGGAGACTTACAGGAGGTAAACAGGAATCAACAGACCCTCAAACAGAATTTTCTAGAGCTGACGGAACTCAAGCACCTTCTTAAGAAGACTCAAGATTTTTTTGAGGTATTGAACTCAAGTATTTCTATTACTTACTTCCAGACGGATCCTCTTTGAGACCTCTATCACTCTGTCCCTAATTCCTATATTTTTTTCCAGGACATTAGAATGTACAGTATTCATGATCGTACCACAGATTTTCAAGCAGTGCTTGTGCCATAGAGCTGCCCTGTAATAAAATTTACACTATTGTGCAGTGTGCAAGATTATCTCACACTGCCCCACAGCCATTAAATGTACACATATATCAGTGTTTTATTGGAGATTCTAAGGTTAAAAATAAATACATAGAATGTTCCTATAATGTAGATTCAGCCCCCTCCCCTTTACAATTAAAAAATATATAACAAAGATAAACATTTCTCAGGCTGCTTGATTGTTCTTTCCCAGTAGGAAAAATCAGGCCTACATACAGGTAACAAAGTGTCTTGTGCAGTACCATGGAACAGATAGGTGACTGTTAAATGACTAGTTTTATTAAAAGTATAATACATTTTTTTTTTTTCAGGCAGAAGCAAATTTGCCAGATGATTTCTTCAGTGAGGACACCAGCAGCCTGCTGGAGCTCAGAACCGTTCCATCGGCGGCTGCAGCTGGAAAACTGGGGTATGTGCAGCCTGGGCCTGTTTTCTGCTCAAACCAGCAAATAGAGGGAACTGTCATAGTTTGAATGTTGTTTCATCATTGTTTATTATTGTAATGCGTGATTCAGTTTATATTGGTATGTATTTATCTTTTATCTCTGAACAGTCTGGTATGAGATAGGATTGTTCCAATTTAAGGGTTCTGTCCTGTCATCCTGGGCTGATTCTCTGGTGTCCTGCATCTTTGGACACCAGGGAACTATCCCTAGCATCCTTATGTCTGTCTATCTATCTGACAGTCTGTCTCCAGGAATTTGGCGCAATGGCGCAATGAAAAGAAAAGTTCAGCCCATGGACTAAAACAATATCAATATTTTATTTCAACTTGCATATAATGAAACTCAAAAATACAACTTTTTTATATTTTTATTCTAAACCAAGTTACTTTTGATATGTGTATATATATTTTATGTGATGGATTCCAAAATAGTCAGGTATCTCCTCTTTGAATTGATATAAACCATTTTATATTTCCTATATTCCTACACCCCTCTTATAACCACTATTTCTGCAAAATCTGTAATGCCGACTGCTTTGTATTAGCAGTAGGATTTTGGCAAACATGCTGTTAAACATCATAAGTCATGTTTATTTGTGGTTATATTTTTAATTTAAGGAGTCTCTCACTGTTATTATGAGATGCCGTGAACGCAGACTTTAAACAGATGTTTCAGTCCAGGACATTGTTTCTACATTTGTAGAAACAAGGTGACTAACCTACGGTTTGCTTAATATGGCTCAGCAAGGTGACCCTTCAAAATCCTGCAAGGTCCCTGATTTTCTGGTATAAGTTTGATCGATCAGGATTGTGCAAGTTGGACCAGATTTGTGCTCTCTTGCAGATTCACTGCTGGGGTGATTGGGAGGGAGCGAATGGCAACGTTTGAGAGGCTGTTGTGGAGAGTTTGCAGGGGAAACATTTATCTGAAATACAGTGAACTGGATACCACCCTGGAAGATCCAGTTACGGTAAGGAGCATTAAATAAGATTGGGCACATTTTATTCATGTTTAGTAAACAGCTGAGAACTCTCGCCACTCATTCACTAAAGCCTATTTTTCTATCTAGAAAACAGAGGTAAAGAAGAATGTTTTCATCATATTCTACCAAGGGGACCAGCTGAAACAAAAAATAAAGAAAATCTGTGACGGGTGAGATCAAATTTCAATATAAAGAGAACTATATACATTATCAGGGCAGGACTGGGGATAGTTAGCCGCCCTGAAAAATGATTTTATACCAGTCTCATTTTGCTTTGCGGCAACACCGCTTGCACTGCACATATACTCAAGCCTTGTATTGCTCTGTGTTAAAAGAGTGAGAGTTATTAAGAAGGAAACAAAAAGCTTGAAGGGCCTCTACATGTATGTATCTCCTTGGAAATGATTAGAAAATAAAATGCTGCTTCTTTAAGCATATCCCAAGTTTGTGCTCTCCCTGTTCTCCCGTCACATTTTATAGCTATATATGAAAGAGCACCTATGGTGTTATTCACATAACAGATAATACAACGAATAGTGAGCTAATAGCGACCACATTGCAGTTATTCACAACTGGACATTTTTTTAGATCAGTGCCAACAAAAACAACTTCTCTAAAGTATGCAGAATTGATGTTATATTCTCAGCTCAGATTGAGAACAATGAGAGTACTTATGATGACTAACGTGTCTTTTTATATTTATTTATCTATTTATGTGTTTGTTTTTTTTTGGTCCTTCTATATTAAATCATTACAACTGCCATCTATCCTGTGAAATAGAACTGTGTTTCACTATGCACAGAATAGAAAAGTAAGGGGCATGAATAGCTTAGAAAATTGTAATTTGGATGAATGATCTGCATGCTAGATTAAAATGTATGTGAACTCTACATGGAACATTTATTTTTTGCCTTTTCTTTAAAGTCCATCTACCATTTCAGTTACTGCTTCTTTGCTGCCCAAAGTAACATTTCTTTATTACAACACAACACATTTCCCCCATGCCATCATTTTCCTCATCCACACCATACTTGCTTGCTGTTAATTCCATCTACTTATGTTTAATTCTTCTATCAGAACAAGGTCCATGTTTTAACTCATAAATGTATCCATATTATTTTAACTCTTTCACACAACTCATGCAAATATTATATATTTTACAACTAGCTGTGCTGGGGAACCCAATTCTATTTTCATACCTTTGTGAGTAGTTGCGTCACAGAGGCTCAGTAGAGATTGAGAAGGGACTAGGTATGTGCCTAAATACTTGGTGACTTTGGTGAATGACTTTGAGCCAAGGAAGAACATTCACCAGCAGCCTGACTAGCTCCAACCACTCTGACCCACAGAGAAATCTTAGTTTGCCTGTCTGGCCCTGAAAGTTCTTGTCATCCTATCTATATTTTGGATGGATATAAATACATTGGCTATTTGTTTAGTTGGTGAGGAAAAAGTGACATCATGTGGGAAAGTTCTGGGGACTGAAGGTGAGAGACATGGCAACTGATTACAAGAGATATGAAAAGGAAAGACACACAAGAGGTAAGGCAGTCAGAAAAGACACAAAATAGGTGAACAGGGTGACGAGAGACTTGGCATGGCTTGGAATCCAACCAAGCATAGCACTCTTATAGGAAGTCTCATAAGTTAATGTATGTAGAGATATACAGTTTTGATATATATAGACGTAGGAGACTAGGCATCTCATGGGTTTTTCTTGGGCCTATATTATAAAGGGCTCAGGAGACTAGGCATCTCCTTGGCCCCATTACTGGGACAAATAAAAAGGGCCAAATATCCCTAGACTGTTTGATTACCATTCAACCTGCTGCCAATGTAGTAAAGGTAGGTGAGGTAGATGCTAATTTACTCCCCAGATTGTTATTAAACCTGGGGAAGATTTTTAGTAAATTGGGCTCAATAGTCACCCAGACCACTTCAGCTTAATGAAGTGGTCTGGGTGCCAGGTCCAGCTAGGCTTAACCCATTCTTTTATAAACATAGCAGTTTCAGAGAAACTGCTATGTTTATGAATGGGTTAAGCCTTCCCCCAAAGCCTATAGCGACTGTCTCATTGACAGCCGCTAGAGGCGCTTGCGTGATTCTCACTGTGAAAATCACAGTGAGAGCACGCAAGCGTCCATAGGAAAGCATTGATAATGCTTTCCTATGCGACCGGCTGAATGCGCGCGCAGCTCCTGCCGCGCGTGCGCATTCAGCCGACGGGGAGGAGAGGAGGAGGAGAGCTCCCTGCCCAGCGCTGGAAAAATTTAAGTTTTTACCCCTTTCCCCCTTCCAGAGCCGGGCGGGAGGGGGACCCTGAGGGTGGGGGCACCCTCAGGGCACTATAGTGCCAGGAAAACGAGTATGTTTTCCTGGCACTATAGTGGTCCTTTAACTGAATCATGCTTTAAAAGGATATGATTGAGAAATGGCTTGATTTTATCAGTTGATGTGCATCACAAGATAGCAGTGGTTTAAACATACAGAGAACTAGGGGACAATTATACAGACAATGGAAAAAAAAATTATGAAAATGAGGGGTCAGTTTATGAATTAATAAATAGAGTTACTGGTGTAATCTATCACGTTTTGTGGATCTATAACATACAGCATACCCAGTGGGGTTAGAAGATTGATGAGATATATAAAAAAAAATACAAAATAAGTTCAGAAGAGGGAAAGGATTGAGAATCAGAGCCGTGTGAAATGTAAAAAAGTGATAAAAAAACATACCTTTTTAAGAAAATGGGTGATTAGATGTGGCTTGTAAGTACACTTGATGGTAATCACATTCTGGGTTTCCATTGTAGTTTCATAATATAACTTTCTGCTACTTAACAATGAGCTACATAGGGGGTTGGGTAATTAGAAAGTGCTAACCTCACCTATTACTTTTCTAGATTTTGCATTTGTTCCTAGTATCAGTTATTTCTAGGTGGATATGCTAATAAAATATCTATTGCACACATCATGAGCAGCATTAAAGACAAAGAGTCCTTTGCATATGAAACATCAGAAAGTTCTTTATAATCTCCTCAGTGTTCATACTTTTGTCTAACAGTTTCAAAGCCACAGTCTACCCATGTCCAGAGTCAGCGACAGAACGTCGAGACATGGTAGCAGATGTAAACACAAGGATTGAAGATCTGAATACTGTGAGTGTGAATTCATTTTCATACAACATTCTGTTGTCTAGTACTATTTCTCCCACAGTAAGGTGCTGTATCCGCAGTTTTTGGATGTTAGCCCAGAATAAGTTTTTTTTGTTTTTTTTACAGTTTCAGTATTTTGTAAGGCTCGGCAGTACAAAATGAAATCAACATACTTTGATACCAATTGTTTGGCTACATCTCTTGTATGTAGTTTCCCTATTGAGAAGAACACATTTAATCTATACTGTACTTTTATGCTCTTATAGCATACTACAGGTTTCATGTTGAATGCCGTGTTGGGACATTATGTTTTCTTATTCACATAATATTAATTGATTTCATATTTCTCGTATTGTATAGTTACCTTTTTTTTTTCTACCTCACTCAAATGCACCTAGTGAACCATATATCAAAGTTTTTAGTTTTTTTTTTGTCAACCTTTCTTTTATTGAGGCATACGAGGTGGGGTACAAAATAAAGAGAGGGAAATGCAATAATGGTTTACAGTGGAGGGTTCGTACATCATTAACTTTAAGAAACTACATTTCCTGAGTAGCGATGCCTCATTTTTTTTCCCCGGCATGTTGTGTAGCAAAAACATATTATAGCCAGAAGCAATGCCTGTCTAGATAATCTATTAAAAAAGAATCAGTAGGATATATAACATCGTAGACACACATTAGGTGATTAAATTGTCAGGCTGAACATTCAAGAATATTGCAAGCTAGATAACTATCTGAATACACATCAGTAGAAAAAACAATTTGTAAGGAGGTATCTATGCTGAACAGTGGTAGCTGTGCTCAAGGCTAGACATATATGGCTGTGTGAGTTTACTAAAAGCATACATTTACACTTCACTGGGCATGCGACAGGTGTATACATATGTATGAGGTGCCTATGTTTGCCTAGCTGTGTAGGTTGAGTGTATTCTCTGAGCCTCACTGTGGAAAGAATCAAAGTTATTAAGATATCCTGGTCACATTTTCAGGATGACAGTAAATGCCCTACATTCTTAGTTTGGTTTTCTTCCCCTTCCCAATAAAAAGCACACATTCCATAACTTGACAAGAATGAGAGACATTTTAGAAAAATTTAAATTCTTTAGAAGGAAATGTTACTCACAGTTACTACCTTATTCGCCCTCTTTATCCTTAATATTGCTGTTTTCCATTTCCAGGTTATCACCCAGACTGAATCTCATCGGCAGAAAGTGCTGCTAGAAGCGGCTAAGAATCTGTGCATTTGGGGCATTAAAGTGAAAAAGATGAAGGCTGTGTATCATGTTATGAATTTGTGCAACATTGACGTGACCCAGCAGTGTGTCATTGCTGAAATCTGGTGTCCAGTAGCTGACAAAGAACGAATTAAACGAGCACTTCAACTGGGCATGGTGAGCAAAGCAAAACAGTGGTGGCCTCTCATATTTGCATAAATGTTGGAATATAGGCATATTCATTTTCTTGTTTTTCTTGTCCATGCATATAAACTTCTGCAGTTACCTATGCGTATTGTACCAAATGAAGTTCCCCCCTTAAATCTTTCCATGTTGTTCTCAAACTATTCCTTCTAAAAGGGATACGGTGGGCACCCAGACCACGTTATCTGAATCAAGTCCCTGTAGTTTTAACCCTACAGGAATGGCATTGTTTACATTACACTTTGACAGCCACTAGAAGTGGTTCCACCAAAATAGCACTAGCCTCTCAATGCTCTACAGTGGAAGAGCATGAGATTGGCTAAGATCATCAAGATTGATGATCTCAGCCATGAAGGCTGGGCGACTGCTGAGAGCAGCATGGCATGGGAGAAAAGGTAAGCAAACTATCTTTTTAACCCTCACCTAAACAGTGACTAGGACAGTATAGCGTTAGGAATACACGTTAGTATGTAGTATTCCTTTAACTTAATTGGCTATCAAATTCTTACCATGATCAACAAGATCTAAGTTGAATTTTCTAAGCTTTATCAAAGAGCACATTGTGTACAGGGCAATATTTTAACTGATATTGAGCTTGATAAAGAGTGTTTAGTGTTTGAAACAATGCTCTGTGCACAATGTGCACTTTAATAAAGGGATACTGAAGAACTGAGGACATGCTGGAGTATTGTTTATGGTTTACTACTTGAACTGAATGAATAAAGCTATACTTCTATTCATCCTCTAGTGTCGGTGTTGTTCCATACTCATGATTGTGGATGTACTTATTTTCTAAAAAGGTAATTTTCTATGTTTTGTTCCAATGTAAGCTTGTTCGTGAATTTTCTCTTTCTTCAGGAGCGCAGTGGTTCCACCATTGCTCCTATTCTGACCAACATCTACACGAAGTTGGAGCCTCCAACCTTCAATCGCACTAACAAGTTCACGGCTGGCTTCCAAAACATTGTGGATGCCTATGGTGTCGGGAATTACCGGGAGATGAACCCAAGTAAGCCTCTTGTTCTGCAACCATATCTATGACCTACATAACATGGAATGGACAGTCAAGGAAATGGAACTAATATATTGAGTTCAGCATATATTTTTTTTGTCTAACTCAACCAATCTTAGTATGTACTTTGAATTCAAAAGAGAAATGCATCCTTCTCAATACATACACCTGAAACCCTTGCCCAGTTTTGTGACCTTTTTAGATAAATAAGTGAAACATAATATTTTTTATTAAAGGGACGCTCCACTGTCCAAATAAAAATAAATAAATCAGTATTTAGGAGATATACCCCCAATTAACACACATGCATGCCTTTAATTATGCATTTTTAATTTTTCACACATCTAAAAACAGCTTATAAAAGCTGCAGATCTCTTGTCTGAAGACTTTGCAACCCTACCCGACTTGTTTCTCAGCCCATTCTTTCTGTGGCTGTCCAATCACAGACTTCCAAATGTAGCTCTATGAGAAGTCCTTGCAAAGCAGCAATTGTTGCATCTTGATCTTAGCTGCACTGAGATAAACAAACAAGGGACTAACAAGACCTGTTGTGTGACTGACAATAAGGGTGGGAGGGGGGGAAGGAGGGGGAGAAGAGGGAGTGTAACAAGGTTAATTTGTGAAAGTGTCAATTTCTATTGCAATCTGCAAATGAAGAAAGAGAACACACTCTTCAGGCATAAAACTAAAGTGCTTTACGTGTGTAGAGTGTTCCTTTAATGTCCACATGGTGACACAAGTTGTGGTCATGAAACACTGTATGCAAACTGAAACTTTCTCCACTATAGTATTATATTTGAATATGGCAAAACAGTGAAGTTACTGTTTAGTATACATTCAAATATTGCAAAATACATTTTTTATATACATTCATCACTTATTTTATTAGTGTGTCTAAAGGACAAGCTTATCTTTTTTTTAAATTAATTTCAATGTAATGAGTCTAATTCAAAGTTTTCTTTGCAGCTCCTTACACTATCATCACTTTCCCTTTCCTCTTTGCGGTCATGTTTGGTGACTGTGGTCATGGTGCTGTCATGCTGGCATTTGCCCTCTGGATGGTTTTCAATGAAAAACAACTGCTGTCTTCCAAGAGTAATAATGAGGTGAGACAACTGAGCATCAGCAATTTCTGATTTACCTTTTGTGTCATGATTTTTTCTTCTACATTGAAAAAAACGTAGGAGGGCCAGTCCTTATTTAGACCCCAAATCCCTCTTTTCTTCCTTTCTAACCTTAATGCCCCTCTTTTCTAAGAGCACCATAGAGTTGGTGTGTCTGAAGGAATAATATAGCTCTACAGCATTAATATTCACAGTAAGTTGTCTTTATACAAAAAAAAAAAAAAAAAAATGTGTTTAGAAAGGAGCCTGTGCAAATAAAATACATTTTTAAATTACATTTTATTTTCAGAAATTATTAGTAAGTCACTGAAAATTTCTCAAATTCCGGCCCTGGCCTCACTTTCAATAACAACCCTAAAATAAAGTGTCTCTCTTTGTCCATTGGAAATGTTGGAAGGCATGACTAATAATATCACTGTTACATCATCATCAAATGCATTACTTTGTACTAATTATGGACATACTGATTGAGATGTAGGTATTATTTTTATCGAGTCATTAACAGCATTTAGTGTACTCATGGCTTGAATGAGTCTGGATCCCATAATCACAGCAACGTACTGACAAAACCATCATTGTGAGTAAGGTACTGAAATCAAGACATTCTGGTCAGCTTTTATGTTGATGTTTTCAATTGCAGATTTGGAACACATTCTTTGGAGGCAGGTACCTAATTCTCCTGATGGGCACCTTCTCCATATATACTGGATTTATTTATAATGACTGCTTTTCCAAATCCTTCAACATATTTGGATCATCGTGGAGAGTACGACCAATGTTTACAAATAGCACATGGAAGTAAGTCTCAAAAATATAAAGAATATAGAGAAGCTCCTGAGGAAGTCTGGCGACGAAACGCCTTGAGCATTGAATATTGAGCACTATCTGGGACCCTGCATTGTGGTATCAGCGGCTTTATTGTGTGTGTGTGCTGATTGTTTACATTTATACTTTGGGCTATTTGTATGTGTATGTGTCATTGGCTTGGTGCACTTTTGGTATTAGTACTTTGTATTTGAGCATTTGCACTTTCACATTGTACTTTGCACTTTAGCATTTGCACTTCATTGCCCAGTTCAGCATTATGTATTAGTGAGCTGCTATAACTATGGGTTCCTGCTTATTACATGTTTTGGCACTTATTATTGTGCTGTTATTTTATTAATCTTGTATCAATAAATGACTATTTTTATTTAGACACTAGTTATTATTTATTGTTCTTGCCCTCATATATACCGATATAGTGACTGTGGCGCCCTGTTACTTTGTATATATTTTTACTTTATTATTGGATTTGGAGTGTCCAATTTACAGAGGCTGGCCTGCACTTGGTTTATATCTATTTTTATTGTTCACTCACCTATCTTTCCATTTTCAAAAATATAAATTCTTCAATCAAGTTTCATTGTAGCTCAAAATGGTGCTACATATATAAGTAGTATTATACTAGCCATGAAAACGTCAGTGTAGGAAGGAGTCAGAGGTGAATTTATATGACCACACAGGTGAACCCTACGAACAAACTAGACAAAGTGCATACAGAGAACATTCAATGGAGGTTATAAGTATCCTAGAAATTTGGTTGTTTTTTCTGAAATTAAAGTTTAGCATATACACTATTAGTGGATGGCGTAGAGCATGTGTTTGGAACAGCCTGGCAAACCACAAATTAAAACAAGTTTTCAAACTTACTGATACCTTAATTGGTTATACATATTTGCTGTGTGCTACTAATTGTTTGTAGCTGATGGACACCAATTGTCAGCCTGGTATGTTTTGTTTTCTTTTCTAGTGATGCTTTGCTTCATCAGGGAATTCAGTTACAGCTGGATCCTGCGGTGCCTGGAGTGTTCTCAGGAAATCCTTATCCTTTTGGCATTGATCCCGTATGTAAACCATCTTTAATTAATATTATTATAGTTTTTACGCTAAAGACAGTGATTTGCAGACATTTAAATGTGTCAAAAAAACTATGTTAATTTTGAAATGCCACTAGTACTATAGAGGGTGAATTCTAAAAATGTCAGTAATGTCAAATGTATTAAATATTTAATACACACTGAGAACACAAAGTGCTAAAAAGCAAGCAAGAAACATGCACTCAAGTGGGAGAGGTTATCATCGTTGGAATAATAAGAATTGTTTGGTTGACAAGTATCTGTGTACAATAATGGTGATATACTTTTAAACTGTTAATAATTTTTAGGGTTACAGAGTCAGAGCTTTTGGAAAATTTTAAATGCAGAATAAACCTCTAAACCACTATTCATTACATTGCATCTGTTCACCCTCAGATCTGGAATATTGCTTCAAATAAGCTAACCTTCCTGAACTCCTACAAGATGAAAATGTCCGTGGTCATGGGTATCTCGCAGATGGTTTTTGGAGTGATCATTAGTCTTTGTAATCACATGTAAGTCTTTCTTTAGCTATTGCAGGAATTAGCAGCTTTTGAACTTTTTGTGTGTTTTTATTTTTATTTGAAAAACTTTATTGAGTTTTACAAAATTTAGAAGAGGTAAGAGGATACAGAAAAGAAAAGGTAGGGGATGGGGTGCAATAACAATACATAGCTAATTTCTGTGCACATTACATTATACTAGGCATGATACATTTTATTATCGACCTCACAGTACATTCCCATGACACATTTTCTTTCAGTTGTGGTTTTTTAATGGGTAACACACAAACCGTTATGCTTGACAGCAGTGTATGTTCACTTGATATTAAAGCAACCAGTGAATTTGATTTAATATGCTTACAACACTTTTAACTACAATCCCAAAATAACCTGTTCTGATTTTCAAGCATGTCAACTAGTGATGTCCCGAACGGTTCGCCGAACATATGACTCTGTACAATCAGCCAATCAGCAGCAGACCCTCCATCCCAGACCATCCTACCTCCTGGACAGCTCACTAAGAATGCAGCTTCAAAATGGATGCTGTCCAGGAGGTGGGAGAGTCTGGGAGGGAGGGTCTGCTGCTGATTGGCTGGAATGTGTCTGCTAACTGTGAGGTACAGGGTCATATGTTCGCCGTCTGCGGCGAACCGTTCGGGACATCACTAATGTCAACATATACAGTATGTCTCTGTTAAAGAAACACTATAAACAACTTCACCTTAATGAAGCAGTTTTGGTGTACAGAGTATACCTTTAAGGTTTCACTACTCAATTATCTGCTATTTAGGAGTTAAATCACTTTTGTTTCTGTTTATGCAGTCCTAGTCACACCTCCCAGGCTGTGACTGACACACGCTGCATGAAAACAAAATGGTTTATTTTTCAGTCAGACGTAACTTACTTTCATTTTTTTATCTCTTGCTCTGTATATTTAACTTTAATTACACACAAGAGGCTTGTGCAGGGTCTAGCAAGCTATTAAAAGAGAACAAGATAAGAAATGATAAATTAAACAAAATTTGCAATAGAGGAAGTGTAACTATTAGATGACTGTTTACAGGAAATGTGTATAGGAAGACTGTATAAGTCACATGCAGGGAGGTGTGACTAGGTCTGCATTCAAAGAGATTTACATAGTTACATAGTTACATAGCTGAAAAGAGACTTGCGTCCATCAAGTTCAGCCTACCTCACATTTGTTTTTTGCTGTTGATCCAAAAGAAGGCAAAAAAACCCAGTTTGAAGCACAATTTTGCAACAAACTAGGAAAAAAATTCCTTCTTGACCCCAGAATGGCAGTCAGATTTATCCTTGGATCAAGCAGTTATTACCCTACATTGAAAGATTATATCCTTGAATATTCTGTTCTTGCAAGTATGCATCTAGTAGCCATTTGAACATCTGTATGGACTCTGATAAAACCACTTCCTCAGGCAGAGAATTCCACATTCTGATTGTTCTTACAGTAAAAAAACCTTTCCTTTGCCTTAGACGAAATCTTCTTTCTTCCAGTCTAAACTCATGGCCTCGTGTCCTATGTAAAGTCCGGTTTGTGAATAGATTTCCACACAATGGTTTGTATTGGCCACGAATATATTTGTATAATGTTATCATATCCCTTCTCAGGCGACGTTTTTCTAAACTAAATAGGTTTAAATTTGTTAACCTTTCTTCATAGCTGATATGTTCCATTCCTTTTATTAATTTTGTAGCCCGCCTCTGCACTTTTTCTAGTGCCATAATATCCTTCTTTAGAACAGGTGCCCAAAATTGCACAGCATATTCAATATGGGGTCTTACCAGTGATTTATAAAGAGGCAAAATTATATTCTTGTCCCGAGAATGAATGCCCTTTTTTCATGCATGACAATACCTTACTGGCCTTGGCCACTGCTGATTGACATTGCACATTGTTGCATAGTTTGTTGTCTATAACAATTCCCAAGTCCTTTTCATGTGTTGTTATCCCTAATTCGCTTCCATTAAGGGTATACGTTGCTTGTGTATTCTTTACGCCGAAGTGCATAACTTTGCATTTTTCAACATTAAATTTCATCTGCCATTTGAGTGCCCAGTCCCCCAGTCTATCTAAGTCCCTCTGCAGCAAAGTAATATCTTGCTCACATTGTATTGTTTTACAAAGTTTGGTGTCATCTGCAAACACTGAAACATGACTTTCAATGCGGTCTTCAAGATCATTTATAAACATGTTAAATAGAAGGGGTCCCAGAACAGACCCCTGAGGGACACCACTTGCCACCTCTGTCCAGCTTGAAAATTTACCATTTATAACAATTCTTTGTTCTACCCAAGAACAAGCATTTACATCTAGACCGATTTCCTTGAGTTTGAACACTAATCTATTGTGTGGAACTGTATCAAATGCCTTGGCAAAATCCAAATAGATCACATCCACGGCAACACCCTGATCTATACTTCTACTTACTTCTTCGTAGAACGCAATCAAGTTAGTTTGACATGACCTGTGCTTCATAAAACCATGCTGATTTTGCTGATAACCATGTTCTTCTCAAGGAATTCTTGAATATTATCCCTTAATAAACCTTTCAAATATTTTACCAGCCACAGAAGTTAAGCTCACAGGTCTATAATTTCCAGGCAAGGATTTTGAACCCTTTTTGAATATAGGAACCACATCTGCCTTCCTCCAATCCTCCGGAACACTTCCTGAAAGAAAAGAATCTTGAAAGATTAAAAAAAATTTAACTCCTAAAGATTAAAAAAAATTTAACTCCTAAATGGCAGAGAGATGAGCAATGAAACGTCACAGGAATGATCTATTCACCAAAACTGCTTCATTAAGCTAAAGTTGTTTTGGTGACTACAGTGTTCCTCTAATATAAAAAAAATAGGGATTTTTAAAAAAAACTTTTTTGTAGGAGGGGGAGGGGGGAAGGAGTGGTAGGAGGGTTCTCTCAACTTTGTTTTGCCTTAGTTCCCCTCAAATGGTAAAGGTGGCCCTGATGGTGATTGGGCAAGGACGTAACATGGCAAAATAAATTGCTTTCTACAATTGTGTTTAGTGAATGCCAGCTTAATGTCAGCTTTCTCATGTTTGTCTCTGAATATAGATGTTACTGAAACTCAATTTACAAAACTTTGGCATTGTATCTTTTCGGTAATCTATTCAGACAGCTAGGTTTGTTTTATTGTAACTGTACATGCTTTCTTTCATTGTTTCAAATCAATTTATTTTCCCCAGGTACTTCAAGAGACATATTAACATCATTTTGCAATTCATTCCGGAGATGATCTTTATCTTGTGTCTTTTTGGCTACTTGGTCTTCATGATTATCTTTAAATGGTGTACATACAATGTATACACACCCAGGCCACCCAGCATCCTTATTCACTTCATCAACATGTTCTTGTTCAGCTATGGTGACACGACCAATGCTCCGCTCTATGGACATCAGGTAAATGGAGCTGAAGCACAAAATAATTTGGAGCAAGAGTGAGCAACAACCTCCCAGAGTTCAAACTCATGTCATGAAGTAAATTTCCAGGATGTGTTATACATCTACCCATAAGTCTAAATGCTTTTATAGCTACTTAAAGAGGAATGCAGGGCAAAGGCAAACTCAGACAGTCTGTGCCCCTACCCTAAATTGTAATTATGTTCAACCGAAATGTCTCTATAGTGGCACACAAGTCAAACAATTATATAAACGTGCGGGTCTTGCCTTTCCTTTCAGGTTAACTTCCAGTCCTCTTGTTGGACCTGTGTCTGTGCATATAGGGTTTTTCTTTTTTATTGAGGTTAGCAAAATTAGATTATAGACAATAGATTAGACGAAAGTACGTTTCACAAAATTGTAAGGTAAATTACATGCGAGAAAAGAGACCTAATTTTTTGTTTAGCTACAACAGATAGGCTAAACTGACACATCTAAACGTAAAACAATTTGTTTGCTGAAAACAAGGTAGGCAAATATGGACAACTATCATTAAGACTAATAGTATTAGATGCATCGTACATGCCCAAAGAGGATAAATAATATTATAGCACTTGTTAAACGTGCCAGGGAAATTCGTAAGAAGTGTAACCACTGGAGATAAGTCTAATACTATTAATTAGTAGCAGCACTAAATAAAAAAGAATAATAATGTGAACATAGAACATAATTACTGAAAGCATAAAATGATATATGAGGAAAATGGTGTTCGCCATTATCGGAGCAGGGTGAAACACAGATACTTACTTGACTTGAGCATGAATTGTAAAGGCCACATACAGCTGAGCAGAGCAATACCGGCATAGGACATACCTGCATCCCCAGACCTGTAGTAGGGCCTGCATCTTTTCACCACAGACTTGTTGCTTCCAAAGGCCAAGTCTCTCCCCTACTGGGGAAATCCAGAGGGGGTTGATGGTTAATCGCTGCTTCCTGTGGGTAATCCTCTGTTTTCGAGTGGCCCTCGGCCCAGACAGGCCAACAGCACTTTGTCATCCTGGAGCTCGGTCTGAGCTTCACCCAGATTATTAACTCAACGATAACAGAGATTAAATGGTAAAGAAAAACATATATGCATGGGTAGGTTATAAAGGATTAGCCAATGTGAAAGTTTGGCACATTGGAAATAGGCCTACTAAAAATATTTTTAATTTGCATTCATTATATTTGCCCTGTTTTGTTTAATATGTGAATTTAAATGGGTGCTCTGAATATACATTATAACTATTACAGATGATTGTAGTGTGTATGAAGGTAAGAGTTTTTAGCACCCTCCTGCTTTCTGTCAAACTTTTTGGACAACAATGATTGGGCAGACTGGATGGGCCAAACGGTTCTTATCTGTCACATTCTATGTTTCTATGATGGATTGAACATTCTTGGGGAAGGTTAGCCCAACAGTCTTTAACTATCATTGCTGTCCAGTTGGAGGGGCTAGGAGAGCTCAGGTTTTTGTCAAATCACATGAAAAATGGTTTTACAAAAAAAGGGGGTAGCATCCAAATACTTTGCGTCTCATAAACCTTACAACGTCCCTTCATGTGTGCAAGTGTCGTTATTTTCTTTTTTTTGTTTCCACCAAAAATTAATTTAACATAAATCTTATAGTTTGAATAAAATGGGTTAATTTTATTCAGAAGAAATTGAAATTGCAAAATGTAGGGTTAAACTTGGACTTCCAAATGAGATAAATTGGTATATAAGTAAATTAGATGATTTTTCAGTTCAGTATCACAACAATTTTCATTTTACTAAATAAAGATCATAGAATGTAGCAATTAAAAAGCATGAATGATAAATCGGATGCCTCCATTGGTAATATTTGGTCACGCACATAACATCAATGAAAAAAATTAAACTTGTACACAAATCCTAACTGCACCAAACTAAGCGACTGCCTGTCAGTCTATGAACAAACTAATCGATTTGTTCAGCTGTTCCTAATGAATCGATTAGTTTGTCCATAGACTGACAGGCAGTCGCTTAGTTTGGTGCAGCTCAAAAGGATTTGTGCACAAGTTTAAAAAAAAAACTTAATATAATTTCTATCATTTTGCAACATGACATAATACTTCAAATTAACAAAGTCCAAGGTACATTTGCCTCCACCCTTTTATTCTACCAATTTGCTGATTTTTAAGACGGTATCTGTCAGTCTGAATTACTCTTTTCTAATTTACTGTTTTTGTACAGCAAGAAGTACAAAGTGCCCTGGTAATATTTGCCCTTATCGCTGTTCCATGGATGTTGCTTATAAAGCCTTTTGTTCTAAGAGCAAATCACATAAAATCCCAGCGTATGGTAAGTTGGGTTTTAAAAATGGTGTCTCAATGTCATTGGGAACATATAAAAATAATAGTATTGTGTAGAAGCATGTTGGATTATTATAACTTTTTTTAACATAGACATTTGAGCTACTAGGATGAGGGCTCTAGTGTAAATGAAGGCAGTGCGACTTTCTTCGCTACATACATAGTGTCCTCATCCCGATGCAGTTCTTTTGTTCGTTACTCCACAATGCAGAGCATTAATCTGCCTCCTCCCCTGCCAGCTGTAACCAGGTCCCCTGCTAAGTCTAATTTTCCTTGCATTTTTTCCCCCATCTTATTTTCCAGCAGAGCCTGGTCTTCTGTCCATCCCATGCAGAGCATTACTCTGCTTCTGTTCACCAACACAGCTATTCTGTTGTGTTGAGGAAACAAAATCCTGCCATTTCTATTTTCCCTTTCCCTAATTTGCACTATTTGCCTCAATTCAACATGCAGAATTAAGTGCTCTAAATGTTACCTTGTGCTCGAAATGGTTAAATATGTTTTAAGGCATTTACTATATATACAAAATTACTATGGGATATTTATATATGTCTATCTTTAGCCGGTGTTGAATATTTCCCTCTTGAATGGTTTATTTAGAGAATCTTAAAACCTAGAACAGGTATAGGCAACCATCGCACTCCAGGTGTTTTGGACTACATCACCCATGAAGCTTTGCCGGCATTATGGGTGTAAGAGTATTATGGGGGATGTAGTCCACAACATCTGGGGTTCCGAATGTTGCCTATCCCCGACCTAGAAGTACTCCTTCCTGTTATCCTCCATCTATCATCCACATGATTGTAGTACATTTCGGTACTCTTGCTTTAACTTTGTACACTCTTAAAGTTGCAGCCATCATCACCAAACCAACACCTGACTGAGGACACAGATGTGGAAAATGCCCAGAGCAATCACAACAGCCCTGCCATTCAAGATGAACATGGAGGACATGGAGGAGGACATGGGGAGCATGGAGAGGAGGTACGGGTGATAAGCAATGAAGATCAGACAATGTGATGGAACCAACTGACCATTTCTTATTGTCTCTACATTCTTGTAAATTATTATTTAATGTATTTAATGTGTCTCTTGGTTGGACAAATGTAGCATTTTTGAATCCCACAAATACCTGTAGAAATTACATGGAATCATATTTTTTTGGACACTGACTGTTGTAGTTGATATGTTTTTAATTAATTTATTTTTGCAGTATCATCACCACCGCCCAACCAAGAGGCAAAGCCAGGTTCATACAGCAAATATGATTGATTTATAGACTGCTAGCAAATGCATGGAGTACTTTTTTATTTTCCTGTGTTAGTTTAACCTTTATATAAATGCCATTGCAGTGAAAACCAAAGAGACATTGCTTATGGATGATGGTAATCTGCCCAGACCAAAACACATGCATATCATTGAGCTCTCAATATCTGGGGAAGGAGGGGAAGGGGGAGAAAAATGCTATATTGGAAGAGTTAAAGGACCACTATAGTGCCAGGAAAACATACTCGTTTTCCTGGCACTATAGTGCCCTGAGGGTACCACCACCCTCAGGGACCCCCTTCCGCCCGGCTCTGGAAAGGGGAAAGGGGTTAAAACTTACCTTTTTCCAGCGCTGGGCGGGGAGCTCTCCTCCTCCGATCCTCCTCCGTTCCTCCTCCTGGGCTGAATGCACGGCAAGGCGCGCGCATTCGCATGCAAGGAAAGCATGGCTATCGCTCTACTGTCACTCTCAGAAGAGGCAAGCGCCTCTAGTGGCTGTCAATGAGACAGCCACTAGAGGATTAGGAGGAAGGCTTAACCCATTCATAAACATAGCAGTTTCTCTGAAACTGCTATGTTTATGAAAAAATGGGTTAACCCTAGAAGGACCAGGCACCCAGAAAACTTCATTAAGCTGAAGTGGTCTGGGTGCCTAGAGTGGTCCTTTAAATAAAACTTAACTATTAATTTTAATCTTTAGATTTCCTGGGGATTTCGGTTACTGGAAATTGACCCTGCTGTCCACATTCTTTCTATATTTCAAATTTAATCCAAATAGAAACATAGCTATCATTTTGAATGAGCACCCACAGTCTCTTTAAACATCGTTATCTATGTATATAGTTTTTATGTGAATCCCTTCTTTTTATGTTACAGTTTGATTTTGGGGATATATTTGTTCACCAAGCCATTCATACCATAGAGTACTGTCTTGGGTGCATATCCAACACTGCCTCTTACCTACGACTCTGGGCGTTGAGTCTGGCGCATGCACGTAAGTAATGCTTTTTAAAAAATTCATTATTTAGCTTTTTCAACAAAAAGTTGTTTTCCAACTAGCTATACCTATTCCATTTATTTTATTTTTGACATGACTGAGAAAAATAAGTGTTTATTCTGCAGCACAAAATGAATGAATGACACTAGACCATCATGTTTCTCTTTGTAGAGTTGTCGGAGGTGCTGTGGACAATGGTGATGCACTTTGGCCTCTCTAGCGCAGGTTGGGTAGGGCTCATTGCAGTCTTTATTATATTTGCTGCATTTGCTGTTCTCAGTGTTGCAATTCTACTAGTTATGGAAGGTCTATCTGCGTTCCTGCATGCACTTCGACTCCACTGGTATGTTACTTTCTTGTTTTACAAAACTTAATATAGTTGAAAATGTTAACTTCACTGATTCAGCCTCAGGAAATTAAAATTTTTATGTTAGTGAAAAAAAAATTGATAGCAACTTCATTAATGTTTAACAGGCAATTTCCCAGAAGCTACATGCTAATGTAATGTGAAACTACATTAATATTGATAAGTTTTAACTAGGTGTATTACTCTATTACTAATTCCCATATAAAACCACATGTTAAACAATGTTTTTAGGTTTGACTCTCCTACACATTTGTTTATTGTTAACCAAGGCAATGTACGTGTATGTACATGTACATACCTATACATGTATATACATGATATATTTATAGCAAAGAATGTACAGTTTTTAGGATGCTGTTTACAAACATTACACGTAGTTTTCTGCACATAAACACATACTTCATATACACAAATACATTTTACTTTGTCCTTAAACAGTGCAATAATGTAGTAAAATACATTACATAGCTAGCAGAGGTGTATTTTTCTCTTTTTTGATGACATTTGAAGAGGGAATTGGGATGATTATGCCTATTAATTATGTATTTATTCAATTATTTCTTCATTAATTATTAATGATTCATTATTAATAGTGCAGTTTCCTATTTTCTGTCCACAAATTCCTGTAGCATTAAGATGACCCTTAAGTGTAATCTTAAAAATACCCTAGAGCGCTCCAGACACTTGTCTTTGTATGTCTGTTGAAATGCTGGCAATAGCCATTGTGGCATTGCGAGCTAATATGTAGCTTATAATCTATGCACAAAAAAGAAAGAATTATGAATAAATAAATAAAAATACCCTAGAGGTCGCAAAGAACTCGACATAAGAGCATAGTTACCAAACTTGAAGTACACTCAAAGACAAAAATGAAAAGAAAAAGAGGGTTACAATGTAATATTTTATTCAATTAAGATACACAATCAAATTAAAAATTTATTAAACTGTGCTACTTGGGAACCAAAACCAATAAAAACTGGTAATTATGAGCACGACTTTTCATGATTCTGGGGGGGCTACAAATGGGCGGGAGTCTACATATATGGTCATTTTTCCCTTAGTACTGTTGGGGGTTGACAAAGCTTAACAGCAGTAGCTCTCTACCGTGTCTTATAATCTTTTGACTTCGTTGTAATGTTAGTAAATTCAATTTCAGTGAAATTCCAACACAGTCTTTATGGGCATTTTATAAAGATTTTATCTTTATGAAATACTCATTTTTGGGGGGATTATGTTGGAATAAGATTATAGGTAGTCTTTAATAAAAAAAAAATTACATTAAAAAGAGCAAGGTGAAAGGTGTACTTTAGAGAAAAACGAACAATAATTTGGTTTTAAATTTATTTACACATTTTCTTGATGAAATGCTCCTTCAACTTTTACTCATTTCATTATTTATTTTATATATCTGCAATATTTCATCAGTATATGTATGCTGATAATTTTGGAACTTTAATATAGTGGAAAATTTATTCATACTTACCGTAATTTTCTTTTCCTGGCTATTATTCATGGCAGCATATACACATGGGTTAGCTCCTCCCCTTACAGCCGATAGGACAGGAATAAAACAAACCTTTAAAAGGCGTATCACTGCATAGGTCCCTCAGTCAGTAACAAGCTCCTACAGAAGCAAAACCAACACTGGGTGGGTAGTGTATGCTGCCATGAATAAAAGCCAGGAAAAGAAAATTACGGTAAGTATGAATACATTTTCCACTTTCCTGGCTAATCATGGCAGCATATACACATGGGAATACCCAAGCTTACCAGGGAGGGACAGAAACATACATAACTGGAATCAAATAATCAGAACAATTCAACACAAATTGGAACGGCACAAATGGGAAGTTCTCTTCTGAGATAATGCTGAAATCTAGGCCGATTGGAATGATAGTAAGCATCCTTGAGATATAGTGATAAGGAACTTGTCCTTCCAAATTGCTGGGGATATGTATCTGATTTACTGAAGGCTCCATCCTGAAGGCTCTTTCATTCAGTCTATTGTTGGCCCTTCTTCTTAGGTCCAGTATAGACTTCCATGTGCCTTTACTTTTAGCATCAGAAGGGAGGCAAACATTGTCCCAGGAACCGCTCTTGTTAAGGGACCTAAGAAATCACATCTTGGTCCAGAAGGTTTCATACATACTCCTTTGGTACTATACCTTTGAGTCATCTGTCTGAATTCTCTTGTGGGTATAGAGACTCCTGTGTCTGAAGAAAAAACTCCAGTCTATATCCATCTGAATGTGACAAGCCCAGGTATGTCTGATCAGAAAAAATAAGGCTCCTAGTACTGGAGGACAGACACAAGTTCATTGCTGAAGAGCAAAATTACTGCTTCAAATCTCTATTAGAACCTTGAAAGGCAGGTTACCAATTACCACGAGTCACCTATGGAGTCTACCCTGCAGGGTCAGTAATTCCATGTATCTCAAAAATACTGGTCACTGGAGGTTCTCCTGTCTGACCCTGAGGAGCCGGATTCTTGGATCTTCAGTCCTGAGGTACAAACACCTTGCATCCCTCAGCTGTCTTTTAATGAATTCATCATAAGCTTATGGAGACAGTCAGAGCATAACTGTTTTCTTACACTGCTTTCTCATCAGAACCAAAACATGGTGGACATTCAGAAAATACCTTGCATCTTTCCTTTGTAAGCTATGCCAGCATGTCCTGTGGCTGTGCAGCTATAGGTGAAGCTGAAGAAGTTACAATGAATGGGGTGTTTAAATCTTTGTGCCAGGATTGCACAAAACTGGCTCAGTCAGTGGTCTTATGTGTGAATAGTTCCTTTGTATATAGTTGAGAGGACATTTTTGGACAGTCGTGTGCTAAGACATAGTTTTTCGAATGTGGTTAGTGTGGGGATCATAACCCCTTGCGTAGTCTCATGGATATTGGACTTAAGCTGGAGGTAGGAGAAGAGGTCTGAATGTGGCAATTAAAATTGTGATTGGAGTTCAGGGAATGTTTTAAATTGCGTGCCATCATATAGTTGGAACACATGCGTGCAACCCTGTTCTAGCCATGGTTTATAGTTAAAGCTTGGGATGCTCAGGTAAATACTGCACAATGGGGTAGCTCTGGAGCATAGGTTTCCTGTACAGAGGTGGGTTTGGAGAGAATCCCATGTCTGGAGGAGTAGTCTAGTAGTAGCTAGTATTGTCTCCTGGTGAGACCGTGTCCGCTTTTTGGTCTGGAACATGTAGCACATGCCTTGTTTGCATGACCACTGGGATTCAATTTCTACCCAATGGGGCATCTCCACTGTGTAGTGGGCTGTGAGCATAAAGGAGAGCAAGGCTGCCTTATAGTGTAGTTTCACGTTTGGGAGGTTGAGTCCTCCAAGGGAAACTGGTCGTTGTAGGATTCCTGTAGCCACCCTAGCCCTTTTTCCAGCCCATATAAACTTTACTACCAATTTTTGGAGAATCAATAAGAAACTTTTGGAGAGGGGAATCTGTAATGTGCGGAGCAAGCAGAATATACACCATTTTTAAAATCATATTTAAACAGTCAACTATTATTTTTATTAGTTTGGAATAGAGAGGAACTGGGGCTTTCTTGAGAATTCTGTTGTAAATTTAGCCTTGGGTGGGCTGAACCTGACTGTCCAAAGGCCCCCCTTCTGTTCTGTTTTTTTCCCATCCCGATGCTTTTTATCCCACCCCCTCCACAGTTCATCTAACCAATAGATTTATATACATTGTTTTTTACATAACATCCCAAAGACACAAAGTGAGTTGAATTACACTCTACAGGTATATCTGGAAACATTAGAAAAGATAGACACATCTAACGAGTATTTGAAGAATTTGCATTCCAGGCATTACCCAGAACTTCAAAGCACATTTTGTTGTATGTATTTATTTATGAATGTTTAATGTGTTTATAGTGAAAGTATTTATATATATCTTATCCCTGTCTTCTTTTTCTAGGGTGGAGTTCCAGAATAAATTTTACTCAGGAACAGGTTACATGTTCAACCCCTTCTCTTTTGAGCGCATTCTGAATGGAACAGATGTTGAATAGATGCATTCAAATGTCCACAATTCTTATGTATGGTCCTGATAGTGAAGACGGTTTACAATCTAAACAAAAAGTTCCAAACAATTAAGAAGATAAAGATTCTCATAATTTTCTATATTTAAGTTTGCATATTATTAAAAATGATAATCCCTCTGCATCTGAGATACTCCAGCTGAGCTAACCATGAAGTTCCATGATCTCCAGCTATTTGTTGGCTATGTCAAGGAAAGAAAAAAATGAAAATCATGAAAGATCATGGGCAGTACATGGGCAGGTCTAGAAAATATAGTACAAGTTACAAGCCAGAAGAAAAAGTATCTACTCAAGAGTGTGAAAGTTATTTTACCCAATGTCATATATTTAAATAAAAAATTTTTTTTTCTTCCTGCCTAATAGATTTTGTTACATATGACCATTCTCACTGCATGTGTTGTTCATCTCTATATATCCCTCCTTATTTCCATCTTTATTTTCTTACAGTTTAGCTGACTTAGTAGACATCGATTTTTACATACTGTTTTATACCACATTTTTAACTTATTGTACCATTGGAGTTTCTCTCTTTTTTTTTCCATGTTTGGTTTTTATTTTTTTCATGTAGTAAATAAAGACAGTGGGGATACAGAAGGAAAGAGGGATGGGGACAAGTACATGCATATTCCAAAAACGTTGCAGTTTCAGCATACAGGCATCATAAGCAGGTATTACATGCGGTTAGTTATGCACATGAAGTGATGGATTTGACATCATTATATAGATCATATTGACATAGTATGTCTCCTTTCATCTATTCCTGTCTTATTTCTGGTGCATGGATTGGCCTATGTCATGTACCTAGTTGTTCTCATGTGCGGCATGCTTCACTTTTGTGGTGTATGGGGTGAGAACTGGGTAGGTAGGGGAAAACAGGTTTATGCTCCGTCAGGTCCGTGACACTCGATGGCCGAGAGGGTGTAGATAGTAAAGAGGGAACGTGTGTCCCAAGTTGATTTATCCCTAGCATTTTCAATTTATCTGCGTGTCTAGCTTTGTGCAAGGAGGCCTACCTTTTCTTAGAGTGTTCGTGTAAGGTTTTTCACTTCTGTGTTGTGGGTTTGCCAACTCGCCCACCTTTTGGTGTATGCGTCGGTTTGTCCATTCAGCCTGTATGCCATCTGTTCAAAGACTGCTATGGTTTCGAGTCTATTCCAAACCTCCATGGGGGATGGAATGTGTTTGCTTCTCCAGTGGGTGGCTATGCTAGTTTTTGCCGCTGTCAGTATGTTTACAATGATGTGGTTATTCCTGTCTGAGAGTAACTCAGGTGACAGATGGAGCAAGTAGCATTCTGGTGTGAATGGTATCTGGTGGATTGATACTAGTCTTATGGCTTTACTTATTGTCTGCCAGAATCTCTCCAGCATTCCCAAAATATATGTTGTATGTTACCTTTGTGGAACTCACATCTCCAGCAGGTTTGTGAAATTTATGGGTACATGGTCGCTAGCCTGGTCGGCACTAAGTAGCATCTCATTAGTATATTATTATATGCTTCCCAATGGGATAGGCTGTGGGATGCTTTTTTTTGTCATCTGCATAGCTTGTAGCCAAAATGGAGTGGGAATATTGATGTTGAGATCAGCCTCCCATTGTACTATGTATTTGTGTTTGCTTAGTGGGTCTTTATCATTCAGTTCTCTATAGCAGAGGGATAAAGGTTTTGTTTGCGGCCATTTGCCTATGCAGCATTAACCAAAGTTTGTAAGTTAGAAGTCTTCACATTGTCTGACTTGTAACGTGTGAAGGATATGTTTAAGTCTAATGTATGTGAATATATCTCTAGAGGATAGTGTGAACTCCTGCTGAAGGTCCAGGAAGGATTTTAGGCCATTTTCTTTATATAGCTGTGTTATCGATGTGATACCTTTTTGGTGCCACGTTTCCATATTGATATTTTCTGAGAGCTCCGAGATTGTTTCTATTGGGGCAAAATACAGGATGTTATTTACTCCTATAAGGGTTCTTGCCCATTTCCTCCAGCTATTTATTAGAAATCTTGTGCTCTCCATGTGCTTATTGTTTGTATTGTCCCATATTGTAAATGACCTCAGCAAGGAGTCTAATGTGTATGGTCGTATACATGCATTTTCTAAATGGGCCCATATTGGTGGTGTGGTGCGGGAGAGTATTTCCAGACATTGAGCCATGGCAGCTGCTCTATAATATGCTCTGATGTTTGGAACCCTCAGTGCCCATTTATTTGGTGATAACCATGTTAGACGTCTAGCTATTCTTGTTTTTTTTTTTCTTCCACATGTATGCATTGAAAAGGTTTTGAAGCTTATTTAATAATTTGTCTCCTAGTGCTATGGGTATGGTGTGGAACAAGTATAGGATGTGAGGAAGTGCCATCATCTTAATGGCATTCACTCTTCCCAACCACGAGATCTCCAGGTTTTGCCATACATCCAATTGTGTCTGTAATTATTGGAGTTATATTAATTTTATACATAGAGCTTCAGTTGGCCTGCTTCAAACATCTGAAGCAGACCAATTGTGGTGAGACTATACTGCCAAACTACAGGTGATCCCAGCCAGAGCCTTCTGTATAAGGCTCTGGTAAATGTGAGTGGTTCTGTATATAACAATTTACATTTACTAGAGAGTGAAAATATTGTTCTATGAAAGTGTTTCTCATTATGTTTTTATACAGACCCAAGACTTATTTATTTGGTATTTAAGCAACCAATACAGAGGAGTCTTTGTATAAGTATTTATGTTTTATTTGTGGTGTTGAGCACTCCCCATTGTCCTATTATCTTTTATGTTTTTAATTTGGACACTAATTAGGTCTGGAAATATTTTGGACACTGACACAAGTTTTGTTATTTTGACTGTTTACTAAAATACATTCAAGCTATAGTTAAATAATGAATATGGGCTTCAAGTGTAGTTTCTCAGCTTTAATTAGGTTTTAGGAATTATACCTATTTAATATGTAGCCCCCTCTTTTCCAAGGGACCAAAAGCAATTGGACAATTTGACTGAAAAGCTGTTTATGGACAGGCTTGGTCTATTCATTCATTATTTCTTCATCAATTAAGCAGATAAAAGGTCTGGAGTTAATTCCAGGTGTGCCTTTCGCATTTGGAAGCTGTTGCTGTGAACACACGACATGCAGTCGATGGAGCTTTCAGTGAAACAGGCCATCCCTAGGTTGCAAAAAAAAAAAATAATCATCAGAGAGATTGCAGCAACATTAGGAGTGATCAAATCAACAGTTTGGTACATTTTGAGGAAAAAAACAGAACGCACTGGTGAGCTCTGCAACACAAAAAGGTCTGGACACCCACGGAAAACAAGAGTGGTCGATCATAGGATCCTTTCCATGGTGAAAAAAAATCCCTTCACAACATACAGCCAAGTGAAGAACACTCTCCTGTAGGTAGGCATATCATTATTGAAGTCTACCACAAAAGAGAAGACTTCACAAAAGCAAATGCAGAGGGTTCACTACAAGTTGCAAACCATTCATAAGTCTCAGAGAAAGGCCAGATTAGACTTTGCCAAAAAACATCTAAAAAGCCAGCCCAGTTCTGGGACAGCATACTTTGGACAGATCAACCTGTACCAAAAAAGATGGGAAGAAAAACGTAGCAAAGGCTTGGAATGGCTCCTGCTCTGAAGCATACCACATCATCTGTAAAACACGATGGAAGCAGTGTGATGGCATGGGCATGCATGGCTTCCAATGGAACTGTGTCACTAGTGTTAATTGATGATATGGAAAAAGACAGAAGGAGCCGGATGAATTCTGAAGTGTATTGGGATATATTTTCTGCTTAGACTCATCCAAATTCAGCAAAGTTGATTGTATGGTGCTTCACTTTACAGATGGACAATGACCCAAAACATACTGTGGAAGCAACCCAGGAGTTTTTTTTAAGGCAAAGAACTGGAATAATCTGCATTGGCTGAGTCCCTGATCTCAACACGATCGAGCATTCATTTCACTTTGTTGAAGGCAAAACGTAAGGCTAAAGACCCACGAACAAACAAAAACTGAAGACAGCTGCATAAAAACCTGGAAAAGCATCACAAAGGAGGAAACCCAGCATGTTTTAATGTCTATGCATTCCACACTTCAAGTAGTCTTTGCCTGCAAAAGATTCTTGACAAAGTATTACAAATTAACGTTTTATTTATGATTGTGTTTATTTGTCCGATTACATTTGAGACTCTGAAATAAAGGGACAGTGTATGAAAATGGTTGCAATTCCTAAACATTTTATACAATGTATTTGTTCAACCACTTGAATTAAAGCTGAAAGTTAAAAGTTGAAATGATAAAAATTGCTTCAGTGTCCAAATATTTATGGACCTACCTTAGTATATACATAGTTATTATGTATCTTAGTAGATTATAACTTTGACTGCAATCTTTCACAGGATGGATACATTTGTATAACCCCTTAGTGACCGCTGACATATCAGGTATA